TGGAAGTAAAGTGAGCTTGGAAAGGGGAGACAGATTCTTCCGTCCTTAGGGAAGAAGATTTGGATTCCTTCGGCATTAATGAGCACACGGTGGAGAAAGGCCACAGCACAAAAGAATTTTTGCATGGGGACCCTCTGCTCTGTGATACACGACTCTTAAATTTTTCTATTTTTATCAGCTTCAATATGAAAAGATAGCATGAATGTAATTGGTGCAATAGTCGTCAGTGTGCAAAGCTTTTTTGTTCAAAATTGGATCACCCTGAAAAGAAAGCACAAAGGGAAAGATGCAAGCTAATTAAGGAGCCTGAACTGCTGAAGGAACCCAGTGTCGTCCTTAAGATTTCATTGTTGATTTGGAAAAAAAAAATCACGTGGATAAGGTAAAAACAGAACACCACTCGGGGAACACAAAAGGCATATGCTAACCACCACATGTGGCCAGCCATCACGTGTCTGTGTGATTTCTTGGGACAGAACCATAGTACAAACTCACACTGGTCACAGCACAACAATGTTCCTCAGACTATCTACATATCCACATAGGAACATGCACTTTCTCTCTGCACTGAAGACTGACATCACACACACACACACACACACACACACACACATACACACACACACACGTGCACAGGAAACTTCAAATAAGGATAGAAAGTCCTTGTCCCTTCACATGACTCTAGGAGTCGACCTTGTCTGTATAGGCAGTTTTATGGCCCCGGTCATGTGACCAGCATTGAGCTCACTATTACAGGTCTATCCTGTGTGTGCCTCTTGGTGCTCACACTGCCCTTACCTCTCCATAGAATCATTTGGGATATAAATAAATCTTGATCTTGGTAGCACGAAGCTGGCAGAGGGTAGCTCAGTGCTGCAGGCCACATTTGGCAACATTACAATGAGCTATAGGAACACATACAGAGGCCTTGACCTTGAAGGTCTGTAAAGCAGTTGTCTTCACTCAGGTTTCACAGCATGGCTTGTTCTAGTTTCTAGGGTAACTCTCATGTCACTGTGACAGACACCAGACTCCACCACATGGGCTCTAGAACATCAAAGCACTTAGATCCAGAACCCCTGATTGATTCCCTATTAGAGGAAAGTGTTGAAAGAGACCTTTGTACGAAACACACCCATAAACTTTCATTTTCCCCAGAGACAAATGCCAACAGATATCAAGGTTTGTACACCAAAGAAAGAAGGAGGAATGGAGGAATGTGGATTCTGAGGGTGCTCAGCTTCAAACACAAAGTGTCACTAGAGCCCACTGGTGAGACTGGAGAGTTGTCATGCTCCAGTGACAGCCTGGAGTGTATCCCACACTGGCTCACTCATCTCCTGGCTGAATACCCTAAGCAGTCCTGAACTCATAGAGTAAAGCAACTATAGAGAGAAAGGCCATGGAAAGGCCGGCAACTGCCCTAGCCTGGTACCCAGTGCCCTACAAGAGTTGGAAAGATGCACAGGCGATTGTAACTTTTACACATGTGTCTCTGAATGACCTCCTAGCAAGTCACAGGCACAGGGTCACAGAGAGGGGGTGGAAACAGGCCATCCTGGCACACAGTAGGTGGCAGCAACAGTTCCCTGGAGGCCTTTTGGCAGGTCTGATGAGCCAGCCCCACAGCACAGGATGTCACACCTGCCATCTTCCTTGAAGTTTTCCCTCAAGAAATGGAAGCCACACTGCCCCAAAGGACCTCTGATACCAAGTCCCCCTTTCTCAGGTGACCTACAATCAATAGCAGGATGAAAAAACAGACTCCATCCTGTTCTTTCAGCTCAATAATCACAGGTCAGAAAAACAGAACTAAGAGGACATATACCATATGTGCAGTCATGGTACAACATATGTGTGCAGTCATAGTAGGACATATACCATGTGTGCAGTTATGGTAGAACATGTCATATGTGCAGTCATGGTAGAACATATACCATGTGTGCAGTCATGATAGGACATATACCATGTGTGCTGTCATGGTAGGACACATGTCATATGAACAGTCATGGTAGAACATATACCATATGTGCAGTCATGGTAGGACATATATCATATGTGCAGTCATGATACGACATATAACATGTGTGCAGTCATGGTAGGACACATACCATATGTGCAGTCATGAAGAAGAAGACGACTAAGCATTCCCAAGGGCAGCCGTGCTAAGATGGGACTTTAGAGTCCTGGAGGTTGAATTCCAGTCAAGTCTTAAAGGTCTGATACCCAGGGTATCAATTCAAGATCCAGTCAAACCCAAGTCCAATGCCACAGCCCAGAGAGGAGCAGGTAAGAAATCCTCACCAAGCTTTTCATCATGCTCAGACCTTTAGCTGAGCGAGGACCCCACCCACCCATATCTGCTTTACCGTACCTGAAAAAGCAAAGACTTGAGTCTCTCCTCTCCCTGAGTAGGCTGCATCACCCCAGTAAACTTGGGGTGATGGTTACTGTATGAGAAGCCTCCTGATGGGGTCCACAGCTGCTGTGTGCACCCTCTGCCCTCCTGGTTAAACAGTACCCGTGTGTGTGTGTCGTTACTTACCTCATCACTAAGACCAAATACCCAAGAGAAATGACTTAAGGACCAAAGGGCTTTCTTCGCCCTTTGAGGATGCAGTTCATCACTTCATCACGGTGGGAGGTCACAGTGGCAGGCGCCTGAGGCAGCTGGTCACATTGCATCCACAGTCAGGAAGCAGGTGAATCCTGAGGCTCAACGCTCTCCTTTTTACTCAGTCAGGACAAGGGTGGGCCTTCATGTTTTAATTAATCTAGTCTAGAAACTTCTTCACAGATGTACCTAGGAGCTAAGCTTTTCAATGATTCTGGACCCCATGAAATTAACAGTGTCAGCTATCATAGCCTGTTAGTTGGCGGTGAGAATTTGGAGCCTACACTCCTGTCCCAGGCCTCAGTCCTGACTCTTACTGTGCCTTCTACCTGGAGTGGAGGCCACATCTACCACACTTCTTCCAGACACTCTAGAGAAGGTAGGACCCACCCCTTCCTACAGGCAGAGCACAGGTGCATGCAGGGAAGAGTCAAACGCCAGACCATAGCAGGCCATCTTTCACAGGGCCACCTACCTTATATATGTGCCCTAAACCAGGCATCCCTCAACAGGGTCCCCAGAAAGACTCAGCCCCACCTCTCCTTCCTCACTGGTCCCTAAAGTGCTATGGAAGGGGCAGTCTTACTGGGACCCAAATTGGAAAAACCCTTTTCTACATTTACCCCGTAACAGAGGGACTTCCCAGGGGGCGGGCTCCAGATGACTGACAGGCACATCTTTGAACATTGTCCTCTCATTTGTGTATCAACAGATCCTTGATGAGTCCAACTAAGAACTACACAGGGGGCCTGGACGGGACTTTAGTAGAGAGAGGCCACCGCAAAGGAGACTTGTAATGGCAGGGCAGCCCCTAAAAACTTATGTAGGTATACCCTAAGGCACACCCTTGAGGTTTCATGTGTCACTTCCATGGAAACAATACAGGAAGAGGTGGAAACCAGGGAGGATGTCACCCTACTATCACAATGTTCCTTGATAAAGACGACCTCGGCTTCCCACATTCCCAGCCTCCAAACGCACGCTAATATCTAGGCAAGGCCTGTGGCTTCCACCCAAGTCCAACCTACCACCTGCATTCCTAGCAGAGTCACTGGGTCTTGACACACCATTGGTGTGCTTGTCTGTGTCCATCTCTGTGCTAAAGCTGAGTCCAGAACCTTGAGATAAGCAAGGTCTAGAACATGTATCCCTTTTCCAAAAGCATGCTAGAAACCTAAGAGATAAGACCAACCGGATGCCAGTGGGAGCTAATTAGAGAGCTAATGGAAATCCACCTGCCTCAGCCTTGACAAAAGCCTCTATGGTGCAGGGGGGGAGGGGGGACAGCCTTCACACCCACAGCATAGGGACAGCATCATCAAGAGGCATCTGAGGGCCTCTTGGTGGGAGGTTGGGAGGAGGTTCATCCTGACTTTTCACCCAAGTGACTCTCCAGGAGCCTGAGTCTGGTCTGTCTGCCCCGTGTGCATCTCGTCAGAGCCCCAGCTATACAGATGTTGCTCCAAAGGGAAGAGCCCAGTGCCTGAGACGAAGCCACTCCATACTAGTGTGCAATGGGTGCTGCCCATTCTGGGATCCTGGCTGTGCAGTTCCTGAAAGCTCTCACCGCAGGGTAAGGCATCAGAGAAGAACGGGCACCTTTGGGGTGGCGATGGCTAGAGATGGTTGGAATATCCACAGTAGGATTGCCCCCTTCCCTGAAGTGTCCTCAGCTCCTTAGAAAGCTTTCACTGGCATGTCATGGACTCCCTGAATCTGTGTGGCAACCTTGATCTTTCTTCTGAAAAGGGGACTGAACTGGACAGTTTTGTGTGTCAACTTGACACAAGCTGGAGTTATCTCAGAGAAAGGAGCCTTCCTTGGGAAATGCCTCCATGAGAGCCAGCTGTAAGGCATTTTCTCAATTAGTGATCAAGGGTGGAGGGCCCATTGTGGGTGGTGCCATCCCTGGGCTGGTAGTCCTGGGTTCTATAAGAAAGCAAGCTTAGCAAGCCAGGGGAAGCAAGCCAGTAAGCAGCACTCCTCCATGGCCTCTGCATCCTGCCTCCAAGTGCCTGCCCTGTGTGAGTTCCAGTCCTGACTTCCTTTGGTGATGAACAGCAGTGTGGACATGTAAGCTGACTAAACCCTTTCCTCCTCAACTTGCTTCTTGGTCATGATGTTTTGTGCAGAAATAGAAACCCAGAATAAGACAGGGACTGTGTAGCCTGTCTGTGTTATGACAGTGTCCTTGCCTCGTGGTCTCAGTAATAATGGCAGGCAGAGCTGTAGAAACTAATTCTAGTCCCTGCCTGCACCCAAAGGCACGCTCTTTCTCCTAAGTAGAAACATGGCCAGGGACAGGGCAGCAGAGAGCAATAAGCAACACTCAAAAAAAACACACCTTTATTTTTTTCCTCACAGACGGTCTCTCTGTTGCAGACATTCAAGGCGCTGCCGGAGGCGGAGCACTGCCACCGGTGTCTTCTTTCTTCTCTGGTTGTGAGGTGGTCGCTGGGGCTAGGTGACAGGGGGGAAATCTGAGTGTTTCTCTGATGCAACATGCAGCACCCTTAGGAGATTTTAGCAAGGGTTTGGAATAAAATAAACATGTGACAAGCGTTTTCTCAGAAGCCAATTGGTAAGAGGCCTGTACTGCCACTGTTTCCCAATATATCATGAGGACCAAAACCTCAGCAGGAGGTCTTCATATCCCCTGTCTCAACACAGAAGGCACCAAGGGAAAGATGAACCTGTGTCCTGCAGGCAGTCTTAGATCCACAGATTAGCAGGGAAGGGTCTTCCAGGCCCGCTTGCCCTGGGGACTTCCATGACAAGACAGATCTTACCGTCCCACATCTCACAACAAGATGCCACCTTCGGGACATCCTTCTCTCTAACCTGGACTTTTTCTGGTCCAAAAGCAACAAGTGGTCTGTACTTCCTCCTTGGAGTCACCTACAAGCAAGTAAACAGTGTTTGCCATTCCCGTTAAGGGCCATCAAAGACAGTGAGCATGCACAGAGGGAAGAGCCACAAGAGTAGAGCCAGACACTGCTCACACCAGCCTACCTTTTTTTACTTCTACCTCAGGCTCCTTCACGGAGGGGACTCTAGAGGGGATTGAAGGTGAGGGTGTAGGGGTGGGTATTTTAACAGGCTCCTCAGGGGTCTTGACTGGTGGCGGGGGCTCCACGCAGAGCTCCCTCTCTCTCTTAATCTCCTGTACAACCCTGAGGAAGAAAGGCTTGATCACATCCAAGCAGCCAGGAGACGGAAGCTCCTGGCCCCGAATGCCTCCTGCCCTGAGCTCTGTGCACAGGCTCTGGAATGAGACCCACATGCTTTGCTTCGTGGTCTCAGCTCCATCTCCTAAGGCAAAACCCAGGAAGAAAGTATACACTGTGCTGCAAAACCGGCTGAGTTGGCTGCACGAAAGGCTAGAGCAGGTGTGCTAGGTGAGGTATGTGAATCCTCTCCATGGCTTTGTGCCAAGCACAGGACAGAGCCTTAAGAACAGCAGGCACACCAGAGCTGGACGCCGAATTGAATACCAGCCCTGCTCTGCAGACAGAAACCAGCTGTGTGGTCTAAGGCTTCACTATCTCCAGGACAATGATGGAAAGGGTGTCCCTCTGAGTGTGTACCAAACACTGGCATGCCAGGGTTTCAAGCGTCCTGTGAGGTTTGTGGTGGTTAGTGTTATCAACTTGGCAAGATCCTGAATCACTGAGCCAACGGCCCACAGAGCATGCCTGACAGAACCTCAAGACTAGATTCATCAGGGTGGCAAAACCAACCTTAACTATTGGCAGCAGTATCCTTCAGGCTGAGTCGAAATAAACCCTTCCTCCTTTAAATTGGCCTTTTAGCCATTTTTGTCACAACAGTGTTTAAGGACAAAGGAAAGCCCTTAGCATGAGCCATGGGACCTCCTGGGTGCTGTTTTTGGTCACTGTAGCAGAAGATGGTCTCAGGACCAGTAGTTGCAGAGGCTGACAAAGCCATTGCACTAAACGCTGCTCTTAGGGTCTCAGACGTCCAGCGAATGCTGGGGACTCACTTTTATCACTAAGGGGAGATGTACCCAGAACAACAGCAGATACATGAGGGAGACAGCAGGGGTCGTATGCCCGCCTGAGACCATTCCTCCTCCTACACAGAATTCAGAGCACCCACCTGTAAATGATGGTGATGATGAAGGCCCCTGCCATGAACACAATCAGGATGGAGAACACCTGTACGTAAACTGGGAGACAAGCCCTGGCTTAGAATTTGGACCCAAAGTAGTCAGGAGAGGGGACCAGTCCCATCCTGAGGGGCCCTGTGTGGTCCAGTACAGTTCACTGTCATCCCACCAGTCTGTTAGCCCACTGGGTCAGGATGCCACAGCTAAGAGAACATTGTCTCTGGGCTCTTGAGTCCGACATGTCTCCACGGGGTAGTCAATGTTACAAAGCCTCTTAGTCAGGAAGAGCCTCTCTAGCTGTCACCATACTTGCCTTCACCGGGTTGTGTGAGGCCAAAGGTTGGAGCTTATGTGGGCACAACATTCACACCCTCACCGATGCTTTAATGGTTACGTTCTCTATCCTGTTTTCCATCCGCTAAAGGGAAAGAAACTATCTTGCTGGCAACATCCGACCCAAGAGATTTGATTCCATTCAAGCCCCCTACCCTTGTCCCCCTGTGAATAACTTAGGTGTCCCTAACCAGACAGGAAAAGAAAGATCTGCTGGATGTGATGTCCTTGAAGGACATTTCTGCAACAGCGGCCTTAGATAGCAGGTGTTTGTTACTATACAGGGTCTGGAACCACGAGTAAAAATCAAGGCATCTCCCAGACCTGATTCTCACTAAAGGCTTCAAGAATCCTCAGCCTACTTCGTTATGGCTTCCGGTGGTTTCTGGTGATCTTTGGCTCCTCTGGGTTTCTGTGTCTTTTCTCTTTGAAGACATGGGGCCTGTCGGGGTCACCTTGCTTCAGTGTGACAGTCTCTTTACTAATCACACCTACAAAGACTCTTGTCCTAGTTAGCATTAACCATCAACTTTCATAGACTAGACTCATCTGAAGCAAGAGTCTCAACTGACTGCCTTTATCAAGGTGGTCTGTGGGCCCAGCCAACCATGGGTGGTTCTATTCACTAGGCAGGTGGTCCTGGGCTGTGTAAGGAAGCTAACTGTGTGTAAGCCTGAATGAGCCAACAAGCAGTATTCTTCCATAGTTCCAGCCTCTAGGTTCCTGCCTTGACTTCTCCAAATGGATGAATGACAGCCTAGGAATGTAAGTCAGATTAACCCTTTACTTCCCTAACTTGCTTTTGGAAAATATGTTTTGTTACATCAATAGAAAAGACACTAGAACAGAAACTGGTACCAGGACTTAAGTAGTATGTTGCTGTTATGGACCTGACCGTGCAATTATTTATGTCTTTAGATTAGTTTGTTAGAGGATTGCAGGTGGTTTTGGAACTTTGGGCTACAAAATCCAGTGAGTGTTCAGAGCCTAATGGGCTGTTGTTGTGGGAACTTGGAAAATAACGCTGAGAATAACACAGTGGAGCCCTAGCTTGTGAAGCTTCAAACACTCTATGTGTGAGAAAATTGAACTGAGAATCTGTGATTTCTGGCCAGGCTAAGGCTGGAAATCATTGGTGACTAATAAGAGATCACCATTGAGGTGATAATGTCCTTTGTTTTTTGGGGCATTTCCTCCAAGTCAACACTTAGACGTCATCTAAGACGTTCAAGACCACATCTCATGATGGAAGATGAACTTGGCAGTGTGTAAAAAGTCACCCACACTCATACTGCAAGATGCAAGGTTGAGGGACTGAGGGAAAGCAGCTGAGGTCTGGTACCATGTGGCCGGGTCAGAGTCCCTAAAGAGAAGACAAGAGAGGCCATGGCTGAAGGTAGATAAGTTACAGTGAAGCCCCCAGGATATTGGAGATGCCAGGACCATTTGATGTCCACCAAGAAAAACAGCAAGTGTGGAGTGTAGCTGGCCTGAACATTCAAGACAACTTCCATATTCTGAAGATGACAGAGCTGGGGAGGCGTGGCTGCTCAAAGCCTTCAAAGCTGAAAGATCATGAGTGAGTTTCTGGTAGATGCCAAACACTGAACTATAGAATCTTGATCTTGGTTCTTCTTAAGTTTGAGTGTTCCTATACCATGGTTCTTTTGGAATAAAACATATTTAACTTGCTTTGTTTTACAGAAGTCCACAGTTAGGAGACCTCAGAGTCTTTAAGAAACTTGGGGTTCTTTTGGATTTTTTTAATAAGTGTTTTGCCTGCAAGTGTGTGTGTGTGTGTGTGTGTGTGTGTGTGTGTGTGTGTGTGTGTGTATCTGTGTGTATGTATGTATGAGTGTCTGTGTGTATGTATGTATGAGTGTGTGTGCATGTGTGTACCACGTGCATGCCTGGTGTCCATTGAAGTCAGAAGAGGGTATTGGGTTCTCTAGAATTGGAGCTACAGATGGTTGTGAGCCACCCTGTGAGTGCTGGATACTGATTCTGAGTCCTCTAGAAGAGCAACAAGTACTCTTAAACACTGAACCATCTCTCCAACCCCAGAGCCCTTGGACGTTTTAAGTGCTGAAATGTTTAGACACCATGGGACTCTTCTGTTGGGCTGTGTTTTCTATTCTAATATTATCATAGATCTTTGGGACAAAAATAAAAAACTGTGGCCTAAAGTGTTGTGTATGTGTGTCCGTTTGAGAAGAGGTGGATTGCCCTGGTTACCTGTCAACTGGACAGATTAGAATCACATACAAAAAAAAGAAGTCTCAACTGGGTAACTGTCAGTATCAAGTTGGTATAAGCATGACTGTGAAAGGTTTTCTGGATTGTTAATTGATATGAGGGAGCCCAGCCCACTGTGGGTGGTGTCATCCCCAGGGCAAGTATCCTGGGCTGTATAAAGAAGCTAGCTGAGAATAAGCCCAAGGGAACCAGCAAGCAATATTCCTTCATGGTTCCTGCCTCTGGGTTCCTGTCTCAAGTTTCCTGGGTCTGTGACCTGAAAGAGAAAGCCAGATCTCCCTCTTCCAAGTTGGTCAGCATGTTCTGTCTCAGCGACAGGAAGAAAAACTAAAGCAACTTCCTTGACAAGACAGACCACATACACTAGCCCCCAAACAGCATAGAGTTCAATTCACAACACAGCTACAGAGCAAGTTGCTCCCTAGGCAATGGGCAAGATTCCATCAGGACCCATGGTCATTGACTAGTTTGAGGTTCTCCAGGAGGAGGCAGAACTTCAGGATCCCTTATGTGAGGGCAGAAGTTGAGAGCTGAACAAGGGTTGAACCCAGCAGCTCAGTATGTCAGCTCAAGTCTTTCCATTTCATACTGATGTGAGCCCTAAGGCAGACACCAAAAACTGGCTATTCCAGTCTCACCAGGAGCAGAGCCTCCCAACTAACAGAGACTATGGAAACATAAGCCTGGCTACTATGTTTATTGTAATGCCTAGTGGCAGTCCCAGAGAAGCCTGTGAGCTGTTGCTTCAAGACTCTGAACTTTGGGGGCAACTTACTACAGCATAAATCGACACAGTACAAAGTGTGTCATGAGGAGCCCTCAGAATCAAATGACAGGAAATGTGTTCATGGCTGAATTAAGGGCTTTCAGGTAAAACCCCACAAGTTCTTGAATCCCAGAGTGATAAAATCAGAACCACACGTGAGCATGGCACATATATTTTCATGTTATAGTATAGGCACCTTCCATATGTGGTAGTGGTCTCTCGGCCCTGCTGTCAAGCTAACAGAAGCAATAGACAGGACTCTGTGCGTTCCTCTGCACAGCATCTGGCTGTGAGAAGCCACATGTGTGGTGTGTCAGGAGTCATATATTGTGACTGCTCTTCCCCAGGCAGAAGAAAGGGTTATTTTCCCAAGGGTAACGTCTCCCCAGCAGAGTTAACAAAAGTTTTGAAATCATCTCAGCAAGTCCCATGAAGCAACTGAAGTCAAATACTTAGAAGAAGTGACATATTAAATAATATGCCCTAAATCAAGACTGAAGAATGAAGGCAAGTCTTCCCCCTCTAGCTCCCCAGTTCCTTTTTGAAATATCTAATGCTAATTCCCCAAGTTCATATTCTTAATAATACAGATTATGCCATAACACAATGTGCACTTCAAACCAGCCTATTTAAGAAGTTGGTGAAAGGTTTTCATAACATGGAATTATATGCACAAAGAACTCATAATACCCTGTCACTGAATCCTACAACTTACACAGCACACAGGCTCATTTGCTGCCTTGAAAGAGAAAGATGTCAAAGAAATGAAAAAAAAATTGAGGGCACAGTGAGAACCCAAATGTAGGGCTCACTGCCCAGAATCTTCCTACAGATGGCCCCACCTCTTAACACGAAAGATGTCAGAAGTTAAGAAAAAGTAGCGCCCACACGCATGTTGACGACTAGGGGGAAGATGGACTGAGGGTCAGTATGCCATGACATAATGATGTGATCCCTTGCTCCCAAGACTCTGTGCTGTTTTCTGGATTCCTGAAGGAACCCACAACTAAGATGCTACAGAGACCGTGGCTTGTTCTCGAGTAAGTGACTGGTTATGGCCCTCGTGTAAGCAATGGGTGTCACACACACTCACAACATCACTAACGACTTCTTAAAAATCTACCAGAAGGTTGTCCAGAGGACACAGCATATTTAAAAAAGCAGTGGCTATCTAGATACATCTCCAAAGAGGGCGTCTGCCTTGAGGCATCAACTCCCCAGGCCCCACTGTTGGGATTCTACTTCACAGGGTATGTAGCAACTGAGTTAACTACTCAGCTCTTGGACTAGAAACTGAACGTGCCTCACATGCTTCTGTGGAAATGACTGAACACTCTTCTTAAATGTCTTGTGGATGCTTGTTCCTCCTACTTCTCAAAGCTCTGATTGTAGAGCTTTCCAGGCACTCTCAGTTGCAGAAGGACTGTTAGTCCTTGTCCTGTTGCTATGATGAAACCCCCTGCCTATGCAGTATAAAGAAGGGTTTATTTCAGCTCACAGATCAAGGGCACCATCCATCATGGTGGGGAAGTCAAGAAGGCAGAGCTGGTCATGCTGCATCCATACCGGAGAAGCAGAAGGGGATGAATGCCCGGGCTCAGCTCACTGTCACTGTCATATGGTCCAGGATCCTACCCTGGGGAATAGCGCCACCCACTGTGGACAGGTCTCACCATCTCAGTTAATGTAATCAAGATGACCCCCAAAGGTATGCCCAAATGCTATCCTCCAGATGATTCTAGAGCTCATCACATTGACCACTGAACGGCCTGACCCCATTGTTCTTGTTAACTTGATACCCAAACACATCACTCTAGGTCATCGCCTCCTTCTGTTTCCTATCCCCAAAGTCTCATGTTCATCTCAGAATGCAAAATACAATCCAACTTCAAAAGGCCCCGAGGTCCTTAACAATTACAGCAGCTTAAAGTCTAAAAAGTCCACGTCTCATTCCAGAGTCAAGGCAATCTCTCAACGGTGAGCCCCTATAAAGTAAAAAAAAAAAAACAAGCTACATACTTCCAACATACAACAGTGTTGTACAGAAATGTTGCACAGAATAAATATGTCCGTTCCGAAATGGAAGGACCTGGGTATATCAAGACATGACTAGGCCTAACCAAGGAGAAATACTAGCAGGGCAAACACAAATCCTGCAAGGCCATGTGCAACATCTGTGACTCGTGATGCAACTGGCTGGTTCCAGGGAATTAGATAGCCTTATCCTCCAATTACGCCACCCAAAGCACACACAGTCTCTCTCTCAGGCTACTTCTACTCCATGCCTAGAGGTTTCCTTGGCCTCTGCCCCACAATCCTGGCATCTCCACTATCCTTGGGTGTCCAGTGTTACTTAAGCTTTGCCTGCAAAGCCAATACCATGTGGCTGATGCTACCAAGTTCTTCCGACAGCTCTAGCTGTAACATGGCCCCCTTGTACCATAGCTGTATCAGTTGCATGCTGATTCTGAGAACATTATTCCCCCGGGCTGTTGTCTTTGAAGGAACCTATTAAACTTTCTTCCTTCAAATGAATTTGGATCTTCACTTCATGGCACCTCTGATGGGTAGGGGCTTTGCCTTCATGACTTTCCTACTGTCCCAGTGCCACCCGGGGGTCTCATGAGTGGTGCTGACCTCTTTCATTGTTGCACCTGTTCTGTTGGCACTGAGCTCAACACTCCCCTGTCCCAAAAGCTCCTCTGCCAAACGAGTCAGTTCATTTTTTTTAATGCAACTTTGCTCAAGTTCTTAGAACACAGAAACCTACAACCAATCAGAATGCAGAGAGCAAGAGACCATGTGGTACTGAGGCCCACATGTGGCTTCTACAATGCAAGTCCCCACCCAAGGCTTAGGGACTATGGTGGGAAAGGAGGCATCAGAGGAACAAGGAGATGCTGGGAGACTGTGTCTCCTAGACATGTCAAAGTAGACATGTCAAAGCTACACCCAGGAAACCACACCAACGTGGCGGCCTAAACATGATCTGAACAAAGCGATTACCAACAGACATGCTAACGGATGGGGAACATCTCATGGGGTCCAACCCTAGACAGAGGACCACAGCTAAGGAACGTGAACACTGAGGGAAAGAGAAGTCGTCTTCCCCAGGGAAGAACCCACAAACTAACTCTTTGGTGCACAGCGGTCAGGCCCAAAGTCACATGCATGTAAGGACACTACATGGAATGACCATTTGCAGTTATATAATTTGGGAATGTGTGTGTGTGTGTGTCTGTGTGTCTGTGTCTGTGTGTCTGTGTGTGTCTGTGTCTGTGTGGGCATCTATGTGTGTGATAACAAAGAAAAATAGGTCATGAATTTGAAGAAAAGCAAGAGGGATACGTGGGAGAGGCTGGAGGGAGGGAAGGGGAAAGTGACATTGTAATTTTAAAAGTTAAAAATTCTGCCGGGTGGTGGTGGCGCACGCCTTTAATCCCAGCACTTGGGAGGCAGAGGCAGGCGGATTTCTGAGTTCGAGGCCAGCCTGGTCTACAGAGTGAGTTCCAGGACAGCCAGGGATACACAGAGAAACCCTGTCTCGAAAAAACCAAAAAAAAAAAAAAAAAATTCTTTTAAAAACTGAGTGCATGCTACACTTAAGGGAAAACCTAAGTTAGGTTCCCAGCACCCAGATCAGGTGTCTTGCAACCACTGTTAACATCAGCTCCAGGGGATAAATGACCTTTTCTGGCCTCCACGGGCACCCATATGTACATGCATACACAGAGACAGACGTGTGCACACAGAGAAATCTCTGTGTGTATGTGTGCGTGTATGTGCGCACATGTGTATGTGTATTCGTGTGTGTGTGTGTGTGTGTGTGTGTGTGTGTGTGTGTGTGTGTGTGTGTGTAATGGTTATCAGTAAGGCTGACATATAACCTCCACAGAACATACCCCAACCACTCCTCCAGAGAAGAGGCACTAGGGGAGATCAAGCCTGTGAAGGAACCCTACATTGTGTGATTCCACTGGTATGAAGAACAGGTAAATTCATAGACAAATCCATAGGGGCTGAAGGAAGAGAGGGGTGAGTGCTAGCAGGTTTGACAAGATGTCCTCAGGTCAGATGGGGTTAAAAGCGGTCTGACTTTGTGAACACACTAAAACCCATGAACTGAATTCTTAGGGTAGACTTTAGGCGGGCACTAGCCTGACATGTGTGAGCCCTAGGATCTGTTGCCAGCACTGGAAAAGAATGAATTTTATAGAATGACCATTTCTTCTCAACAGAAATAATAAAAAAAAACACCAGCTATGACTGTTTTGGCCAAAAGGCAGAAATGGGTCCTGGTATGCAAGAGCCACTCTTCCCCTAGAGTGAGAAGGGCCCTGAGCCTTCTAAAGTCAAGACCTAAAGGCGTGCTGTGAGCAGCGAGTCCTCGTGTGTGCTAATGATGTGTCTGTTGTGATCTCTTTGGGAGAAGTCTGTTTGCTATCAGAGGCCTAAAGGCCCAGTCTCCATGACACTGATCTAAGAAAGTGTGCTCCTGTCTGCTTCCTCCAGCTCCTCCTGGTGCGAGGCAGCACATTTGATAGGTCATATTGATCACTCTTCCCTGACTTCCAAAGCCATGTACATACACAGGGAAGGGTACACAGCGCTGCGTGGGAGGATTCACTCTAACTGGGGATTTAGTAGGAGAAGGAACGGGAAGGAAGGAGGTACCCAAGAACATGTTGCACTGTGCAGAGGGACAGGGGCTGGAGGCCAGCACACCAAGGTCCCCACTTCTGCTACGTGGCCAGTACAGTCTTTCCTGGCCTCGGAGTGTTTACCCCTGTTCTCTAACGGAAATTAAGAGTGGATTCATCATACATAGTTTCCATAATTACCCTTCTGAAAGCTATCAAGACTGAAGACATACAGGAGCCTCCAAGTGAAATTTAATGAAGGTTTGGAGGTGGTGCTTTAGACAATTCTAGTAATTCAGAAAGCCCAAGTCCCGACATGGGAAAACATCTCCCAGAGGCCGAATGAACACAGTCCTTCACTACAACAACCTGGTTCTTTATGGTTCCTCTGTTCCTTCCCACTCCTCACAGATATCGAGGATGTCTAGAAATGGCTCTTCAGGAGCGAGGCGGGTGGGTGGGACAGAGTAAACAGCTAGCCCTGCAGCTCCTTGGATAGTCCAAGCCTGATCTCAGGACTGTATTGTGTTTTCATGTGACACTAAAATGATCTCAGGAGAAACCCAGTCACATCGCGTCTCTCAGCCATCCTTGGCTAGACACCACCAGCCTGGCCCAATCAGGCCCTCAGCTGGCTGCAGCCAGCAGCACCCTGTGTCCAGTAGCTGTCTTGGTAGGGACATTCTCATACCCAGTCTTCATAATCCCAGCCTTTTCCAGGAAGGAGAGTGGTGAGAAGCCCCTCCCACTCTGCACAGAGCAGAGGTGTATGAGGTTGTGGCGGATGGGACGGGACACAAACAATGGACCAGAACCGGATCACTTACTGGGAACAGCTTTCTGGTAGCAGACGCCCTTGTAGAAACAGCACCCGAGCTGCCTACAGTGGTCTCTGGTGACGTTGTAGTCACAGATGTTATACAGAGGGATGTCACAAACTGCAAGGCACAGACAGACACAGCATTGAGTTGGCAGAAAACAAGGCGGGGTGGTCACGGGGTACGCTGGGAGTCTGCCAGAGGGAACTGAGGTTCAGTTAATTCCATTAATTATGAGAATCTCCCTTTGAGATGAGGATAGAATTAAGTTTCTGAACAAAATAACATAAAGTTAATTACTGAGCATAATACAAAGGCCGCTGAGGATCGGGGTGATAAGGCATTTCAGCTGAGACAAGCCAGGCACGGGCTCCAACCAGGCATCCGAGATGGCTAACACATGACCACTGGGGTGGCCGGGTCATTCCGTGCAATATGCACACTGAGGGTCAGCATGAGCTTTTGCTAGCAGTGTGGGGTTGAGGATTGTGCCCTAATTTAGAAACTGAATCCAAAAGACAGAAGTTGGGACTGGAGAGACGGCTCTAAGGCCAGAGGTGAAGATCTTGTAAAAGGTGAATATCTTGTAGGGACCCAAACTAGATTCCCAACACTCGGCAGGGCAGGGAGGCTCATGACTACCTCTGACTCCAGCTGCGGAATATTTTGCACCTCTGGTCTGCTGATATTGTACTCAGATCAAACAGTCAAACAGTCACACACAGATACGTGCACATCACTAGAAACAGATCCTGAAGAGACAAAATATGGAGCCCCCTCCCCTTGGGAAGGGAAAATGGTGGCCCTGTGCTGGGAAGAAGATTAAAGAAAGGACACAGGAGAGACTATTCCCTCACGCACTGGTTTTGACTTGGAAAACGTGGTACTTCAGTGGTGGTGGCAGCTGACAGGACCTAGTGGTAAACAAGTCACACAGGTCCAGTGTTCAGCCTGAAGCCAGAGGGTCGAGCCCCACTCTGGGGAAGACAAAGACAGGAGGATCCTGGGGCTATGAGCTTGCTACTCTAGCTGAACTGATAAGAGCCAGGCACAGGCTTATGTGAACGAAGTGCTATCGCAGTGGTAGCTCCTTTGTTAGAAGTCACAGACACAGGTGCCAGTGTCCAATTCCCCAGAGAAGTCATGTGTGGGAACTGCCCTCCTGAATGGACCTCCAAGGACACAGAGCTAAGCTGCAAGACCAAGCTGGACTCTCAGGGAACTGGAGACATGAAAGGTCATCGTGTTCTGTGTTGCTCTGGCTCAGGACAACTCAGTTAGGCCCACTTTACTCTCCATAGGCCTCCCAGAAGGCACAGGGATGACATAGACACAGTGCACAGCCGTTTACAGAAACAATTTCATTGTCGTGGCAACATGAAATTGAATATGCAGATCAACTTAACAGACAGGTTAGACTTACCAGGCAGACAAAGGCCAAGCCCAATAAAGGATGCTCATCCCTCGGCCTTGCCTCTGGAGGCAGCCTCTGCCTGCCCTGTCTCAGGAAAGCCCCATCTCCATTACCCAGGTTTTCCCACTTTGGACAGCCATGCACAGTGTCCCTGTAGGACCTTGTCAGACAGGACCCCACCCCCAAGCATGCAGGGAGCACACCTGAGGATAGAAAAACTTTGTGCCTGGACAAGGGGATAGGACTCACACCCAGCAAGGGCAGTGGGAAGGTTCAGAGATCCCCAGGAGTGAGGGTATGTTGATCAACTCCTGGCCGTGCTCTAAGTTACTTCATGTTGTATAAAATTGTTTTCTCAGACCACTTTGCCCAGAGAGACTCCATTTTACAAGTGACTTTTGAATTCTGCTTTGAGGATGGGAGAGGACCACACCCCTGGGCAGGGCACCATGTGTCTGGCTCCACCCACACAGCATAAACTGACTGACAAAGGACTTAGTCTTCAGAACGGAAACAGTGCCATTCAAAAACTCACTAGGGTGAATCTGAGACTGTAACATGTCCATGACTCATGGACATGTTCAAATCTTAACACAGAAACTAGGCCCAAGAACCTATGGTACAGGCCAGACCCAGGGAAGGGTGTAACCTCCTCCCCTTTCCCCCACCCCAATGAAATGGAGACCCTATACCCCAATGGCCTGTCAACTGCCATTAGTATGTGAGTTAAGGACTGACAAGCAGGTCCTGTTCCCACTATGATGTGACCTACTCAATGGCTGTCTGTCCATCTGCCTGTTCAACCTTGTGGGCTTGCTGTGTACCCAATGATCAGTCTTTCGTCTGAACAGGGTCTTCCGCTTTCGCCTCTGCAGCCAGACTCAACTCCACAACGGAGCTCTCAAGCTCGTGACCCGCAGCGTTCTGACTCAAGGCAGCGGCTTCTTCCCTGGAGCTGGTTTGGATTTGTTATCAACATAGACTCTACCCACATTTTAATCAGGCACTCCAGAAAACTTCTGGAAACTCTGCTACAGCCTCATTAACCCTTAGTATCTATTTAGCAACCCACATGCGTGCAATATAGAGAGACGCCTGATGTATTTACTGAGGGATGTGTGGTATGGGGGTGGCTCAGGAAAGCCAGTATCTCATAAACGGCTGCCACTGCAACTGCAACATACCTTGTGGATACACTGTCAACCAATTAACCTGACATTGTGGAAAGACACCAACATGTGTGTCTGTTTTAGGCCCAACTCATCTTACTCATGACAGGGTAGTTTAAGAGCTGGCTACCTATGCAGACTTGGCCTAGGAGACATTTGACATCCATGGATCCTTCTCAGGATGCTTTCTGAAAGGGAGACAGTAGGCCAGGCTAGGCAAGGGTCTAGAAGAACAGATAACAGGGCCAGCATGGACTAGCTGGGTTCTTCCCTGCCAGGTATTCTCCCAGCCTCTGTGCCTCCATCTGGGTTGACATCAGGCTCTGTCCTGCTCTGGGTTACTCCGCTACATAAAGCTGTGGCTCCTCGGGCTTTGCCTTTCCCTGAGAGACTCCACATTGAGGATGAAGGAAGACTGAATCTGAGGGAACAGTAGTACCAGGTGACAGGAGCCACCTAGGTGGGACAGACTGACTTACCCCTAAAAGTAGAAAGACCAGGTGTGTTCAGGGTGCTATGTGCACAGACTATGGGAAGAAACCAGGATGAAAAGGATGCCTGGATGCTTGAAGATCAGACAAACAGCTGGACACACCACAGGGAAGGTGTCACGCCCTTACCTGGACCCCTCAAGGACACCTCACACTACGGTAGCAGCAGAACCACTGACCTGTTGCCTGACCACCCCAGTGTGCATCTGGACCAACAGACAACTCCCAGCAGTCTCAGGGGCTTTAGCTCAGCTGGGTGCCAACTGATGATGTCGTCTCAGTTGTCAGTTCACTGTTCAGTGTCACCTTTCACTGTTCCAGTCTCCACCATATCTTGTGCCCGCAGCTCAACTCTGCTGCTGTAGTTCAACTCTGCCCTGAACCCCAAGCCTCTGCATCCCTATCAGCTCCCCCAGATTCTCCTCTTGCTCCTCTTTGGAAGTCCTTGAACTCTCCTGAGCCCTGTGTAGCCCTTTGTTGCCCCTTCTGTAATATATATATGTAAATTACAGAGGTGTCCTGTATATATACATATATATGTGTGTGTGTGTGTGCATACACACATATAATTATATATGGTATATGTATATAAACAGTAAATATTAATGTATATTAATATATTATTTTATATATAATTAATAAAATTAATATTAACATATAATAAATATTAATATATTATATAACATATAATATATTCACAGATATGTTTTACTGTGTGGATGTGCCATCTGATCTTAATAGTTACAACTGAAATATAAGAATCCATGCTCAATTGGCCGGGAGAGTGAAAGTGCTGGACAAAGTCCGCCAGCAGAGCTGTCGAAATTGGAATGTACTGTCATTCAAAAAATTCCGACGTTGCAGAAAGAAAACCTAGCTTCACCTCGCTACATTTTTTTCAACAAGCCTTTGAGGCTGGAAGGGACATGGGGAGCATGGTCCCTGTCATTTATCGTGGTCCAAGCTAGAAGGCCAGCAGACAGGAAAAGCATCAGTCCACAGTTTGGGGACACCAGGAAATCTGGACACCAAGTGGGGATTATTTCCTGCCCCCAGGCTGCAGCTCAGCAGTTCCTAGATACCTTATACACCCCTAAGACAACCTCCTAATCCAAAACTCAGCTTACCTGTATCCTGAGGTCTCCCCTCACCTGGGCCTTGAAACCTGGAGTGGGGTGTTCCAGCCCCAAGCTTAGGTTTTCAGGGCCAGTGTCCAACAGCTCCCAGGAACTTCTTGCAGAGGTAGGTGGGTACTGATCCCCACCCCTCCAAGATAGTTCCCCAGGGCTCATGGTTGTAGACAGAGACCAAGAGGCTGCCCACAAGGACCTTGAGGACAGGGTTCCTCCATCCTTTGTCATAGCTACTGCTTTTCTTCTGGGAGACAACACCACTCAGTCTTAGCCAAACACACAGAGCATTGGCCCTGAGTTTCTGCTGCTCTCTGTGGCCCCAGTCAGCCTACAGTTTCGTAACTCGATTGTTCTGAATCAGAAATCACAATCAGCCCTATTAAGAGTCTTCTGCCTGTGGAGGTACCCAGCCCCAGCATGGAATAGTGCTTCCCCAACCCCACCCTGGAGTTGAGCCTCCCCTCACACTCCCGACCTCTAGGGAGAAGTTGGCTTTCCTTCACGGAATCCCATAGAAAAGCCCTTGGCCTGCCTCCCTAGGGAGACAAACAAAAGATGAACACATTTCTTCTCTCTTCCTCCATGTCATGTGACATAATAGCAATGCATGAATACATGCTCCATTAAGAAAAGAAAAAAGAAGTTTCAAACAGTGAGATATGGGAGGGAAGGAGACAGCCCCGTCATGAGTACCCAGTGGTCTGAGGCTCCTCCTGGGAAGCACGAAATTCTAGAAGGTTCTCCTGTCTGATTTAAAGTAAATGCAATTATACCATGTACAGCCAAAGTGCCTTTGAGAAAATCATATTTTTGCATGGCTTCCATACTCAAGGATCAAGTGTCTAATACCTACTTAGATATCTAGTGGTGGGGCAAGGTGTGCTTCCTTGTTGAAAAAAGAATTCATTATATAAAAGCCACTTCTGAGGTAAGAGTTTAAAAGTGACTGAAGAGCATAACCAACGGAAAGCCCTGGAACTCCTTGTTGTTTCGTAAGCTGGTGTGAAAAATCCCAAGCAGCTGCTCTGTAATGACTCAAGACTCAGAGATCTCAAGACGGCCCCCTGGGGTTACCTGGAAATACATTTCCCTGCCTCCCTTGGTCAGATAAGCCAGATGGCACTGATGGCCAAATTCTCCATGCAAACAGCCCCAGCAGCCTCTTCCATGTTACCTGCAAACTTCTTCAGGAGGTGTGGTGGGGACTTCTTGATTTCTGTGGTGTATCTCATGGTAGCAGCTGACAGGGATTCAGGGATCAAATATGCCTGCAAGACAGGACATCTCAGCACAAGGGGCCCCACAGCATCCACACTTGGAAGACAGGAATATCCCAGAATAGACCCTAGAACATGCAAACCTGAAAGACAGGACACCTCACCACAGAGAGTGCAGGACTTGCACATCTAGAAGATAGCACAGGACACCTCAGCACACAGGGGCATCAGAGCGTTCACACCTGAAGACAGGGCAGGACACCTCACCACAGGGTGGCAGGGTGGCCATCTTTTGGGGTATACTGTGTGATACTAGAGAATTAACAGGCCAAGCATGAAGGGCTTTTCTTGGCCCCAGGGTAGAGGGTATGGCCACCAACCTGTCCATCATTTCCAGAGCTGAGTCATCTGTACTGCCTCTCTGGTAGCCTCTAAGTAGGAACAATGTTTTGGTTAAACCAGGAACCGGCTATCTCCTCCTCTTGTCTATGGCTCGCAAGTAGCTTGGGATCGGGGTGGACATAGAAGATCAGTCCCTGCCTATTATGACATCATTTGTCCCTGCCTATTATGACATCATTTGTCCCTGTCTATTATGACGTCATTTGGAAGCTCGAGGTCATGCAGGTGTTACAGCACCTCATTCTATGGGATGAATGTGGAGCAGATGCTCAAGCACACTGACAGGCTGGGGAAAGATGCCCTATGCAAGGCACAGTGTGGAACCGTGAAAGGATGGCTTGGTTTTTGGTAGAGCACTGGCTGGAGATAGCTGGAGACCCAACAGGTGTCCATGCCTGTGAGGGATTGCATATATCTCACCACACCCCCAGACTCCACTCCAGGCTCCTGACATGTGGCAAAGATCTCCATGGATCCGCGCCTTTCAGTCACGTAGGGCAACGTCCCTACCAGCCCCTCCACAGGTAGAGGGCGTGGCTACAGGCTTCAGCCTCAAGAGATTTCCATATTAATGAGATACCTGAAGGCCAGAGGGTGTAGCCAATTAATCATTTTTTCCCAGACCCTCCTCCATCCTCCCTCCCTATTTAACTCAGGTCTGCCCTGAGAGAGGTGGGGATACAACCAGATTCATTCACCATCTGCCATGACAATAAATCTTTTAACACCATGGACTTCCTTGTGTCTTTGGGGACCCACCACGGGGAACCATGAAGAAGGCTTCTAACTAATGGGCCAAGCTGCCAGAAGTCCTCTCTGCGTTCCAGTCACGGAGCCCTGCCAACTCAAACAAGCCAGCCTTGAACCAACCAAGCCAATGCCGTAACAGAGTCTCTTTCCCGAGGGGCACTGTCAGGGCTTCTTTCTCTCCCGTCCTTCCTCTTGTGTCTCTGTTCTTCCGCATCCCCCAGTGGTGTCTGGGAGACCAAGAACGGAGACCACCAGCCTCTGGGTCCATTCAGGAGCCCTGCCCCCATGGGAACTTCAGGTTGAGATTGCTCCACGCCCAGACAGAGCCCCAAGTGCAGCTTCTTAGACCAGTGTCTGCTCAGTGCCACGTGGAGGGCACTCAACCAAATTTCCATTTCTGCTCCCCGAGCTGTGTCTAGAAGCCTGGGGCGGCAGGCACATGGAAATCAATTCCGCCCAACAGGACCCACGCCTGCGTCCATCCGAGAGCTATCAGCCCCACAGTACTGCGAGTTGGGTTCAAGTCTCTCCTTCCTGCAAGCTACTCATGAAGAATCCTGATCTTGGCTGCAGGATCAGACTTTTAAATCTTGCCATGTGACTTTTGTTTTCTGGGAGCCTGTTTTTGCAGACACTGTTAGTGTGCAACCATGGACAAAATCAAGGTCCCCTCTGTACGCAGGAGATGGAACAAGGTGCTGTGAGCCCTAGGCCTACATCCCCCAAAGTGGGTCCCTTCTGCTTGCACTGTGTCACTGTGCAAATGTATCCCTGGAAGGGGGCTGTAATCGTGACAGCCTTTCTTTGCTCCTTGCTGGAAACTGCCATGCTTCAGTATTTTCCAGGTGTTGCAAGAACCCCAAGTGGGTGAGGGCTGGGGAGTGAGCTCCTGGAGATGGTCCCCTTTCTAACTGTAATGCTCTACCAGGGCCCTCCCTGCAGCACACAACTGAAGGCCAACACAGGGCTGGAGTCTACAGAGACCACAGTGCTTTCATCTCTTGCCAACGTAGATACAATACTTAATTAACTTGGTTTTATCTGTAAACAAATGTGGTTGGCATTTAATAACCAAGAGGACGTGCGTAAGAAGTAGCTCTTGCAAACATGGCAACTTTACAGAATTAAAAGCCAGTAGCTGCACAATATGAGGGAAATTAATTATCCTGGGAACTACTGCTCCCTGGAGTGAAGTTGGTGATCAGCTTGTCACTGAAGAAGCAAGTGCAGTCAGATGCAGAGGAACCGGTGGTCTGTCTGTGGAGGACGGTGAAGTAGGGATTGGCTGGGTGGAGGGCGGGAAAGCAGGGATTGGTGGAGGGCAGGGAAGCAGGAAAGCAGGGATTGGTGGAGGTCAGGAGGGCAGGAAAGCAGGGATTGGCTGGCAAAGCTCTCTGTCTTTCAGTTTCTCAAATTTGCGAAGAGCAGAGCCCTGCCACCCCTGCCACCGGGCAGAGCTGAGCTGCAGGAACATCTGGGCTCAGTGGAGCGGGAGACCCAAGTCCAAAACAAACCGCCCAGGGCTCAGGTCTCTGGTGTGTTCAGAGATATAAGACAAAAACGACAAAATCCAGGGCTTCCTAGGCATGGCGTGAAACAGATTAGAGGAGTCAGCACCCTTGTAGTCTGGAACCCCTAAACCATTACCACAGTCATCATCTTCAACCGCAGTGGCTTCAACACCCTTCAGTCTTCGGGTCTTTCATCTTTCACTTTATTTCTATTTAGCGTTTTTTTTACTATTAATAAAAATTGTTAAACTTGCTCTTGACCTATCGAAAATTGATCTCTAGACAAATATTCTATCTCGCACCATGGTTTCTAATACATGTTTACATTTTTTACACAAACAATTATTACACATTTACATATTTTTACACAAACAGCAGTGAGTGTTCCGGTGGGGTTTCTATGACCTGTGCACCCCGCTTTCTGCCTTCACCTGCCAGGCTGACTCTGGATCAGTGGTGAATGAGACACACTTTACTTCTAGTCAGAGAAGCTTGCCTTTCCATTGTCACTAATGTGCTATGTGTTGACAGTAAGCCCCAAACCCCAGAAGACGGCCACACACCCTTATTTCACAATCTGCACAACCGAGTGGCTGGTTAGAGCAGCGAAGAGTTGGAATGTTACAGATCTACATCCAAACAATCCAGGGCCTGCATTAGTCCTAAAACAGCCATTTATTGCCCTACTTCTAGGTTAAACTTAACGTGTAGAGCCTGTTACAATGTATCAATATACCATTAGCAGCCACACAGCCAAGAGCCAATGATGTAATCTCATAGCATCTGAAACCTACTATGAAGGCCCAGTCTCCCTGTTGCCAGTGCATGTTCCCACCAGTGTATCACTAAGGGTATTGACTTGTGATTGTCTTTTGATTTGTAACTATGGATGTCTGTGCAACTGTTCCTGGTCACTCCCATTTGTTTCCTGAGGTGGGGGCTGATACTTGCATGTGCTGTGTCTCACCAGTTACCAGAAGATGGGGGAGTGTCCAACCACAGGTGTGTTAAGCAGTACACATGCTTGATGCTCAGCTGGCTATCGCAGGGCCTCCCTTCCACACACCTGCCCTCAGGGCTTCCAAAACAACAGAAAGTAATTTAGAGCAGAGAACTGTCCTCATTTAAGGAGTGTCTAACAGTGAATTCTGACAAAGGCTCCTTGAGGCCTGGCCTGTGATTGGCCACAACATGGACAGCCAAGGAGCCTCAACAGGCCAGTGCAAACCTTCCTCAACAGCACCCTGGGAGAAAGGCTAGAAAGCTAAATGCTTTTAGAAGGGAATGACACACCAGCTAGCCTGCCCCTCACCCACAGTTCCCTTCTGGGAGGCAGTGCAGCAGCCCCCAACTATATTATAGGCAGCTTTGCACTTCCACACAGCAGTCACCTGCTGCTATCACTGAGAGGGATGGGGAGGGGCAAGGGCAGAGGAAAGGGAGGAAAAGAAATAAGGACATGAGGATGGGCTGGGGTAGACCCTGAGAACAGGACTTCTTAGGAACAGAGGTACCCCAGCATTGCTGCAGGGCCAGATGCTGGGTGCAGGAGCCAGACTGGGAAACGGGGAAGCACTGAGAGATGAGGAAAGCCAGACTAGGGGCAGGGGAGTAGGGAATCTGCAGGCAGATTCACAGACCAGGGGCTGTTGTGCAGAAGCGTCTCTATTGCATGCTATGGATAATAGTGTCCAGAGTTGTCCAAGTCTGGTCCAGAAAGTTCTGCCCTCCATTTGCATCTCAGAATATAAGGTTTTAAATGTGTTTGATCCATTTTGAGTTCTTTGAGCAGATAGGGCAGGCCGGGAGTCTAAGTTAACACACCACAGACATGGTTGCTCATCCGTTCCCTGCTGCATAATAGACAATATCAAAGTGAAAGAACCAGTCTGGGTGTCCCTCAGCAGAGGAAGAAAAAAAACATGCTATGTCCACACAGTGGCATCTTATCCAGCCATAAAGCAGCAGCTCTGTCACTGGCAGGAAGGCATAGCACTGGAGACTAGCATGTTAGTGGATGAGACCCCAAGAGACAAACAGGCCATGCTTTCTCTCACATGTACAACCAAAGTTAAATGTGTGTGCACACGTTACATCAAAACAGAGGGGAGATGATTTGGGGAGAAGACTGGCAGTTGGGGAAGGAGGGCAAAGATGAGGCTAACAGGGTGAGATGTGTTCAGAGCACACAAAATACCAGCACGAGAGCCATGATCTCCTAAAACACCAATAAAAAACCAAAAGGCACATTCACACGGGAAGCCAAGGCTCCTGGCACTTGGGGACCAAGAGGACAAGAATGCTGGGTGGGGCTCCTGGACCCGGGCTGGGACACACACAGTGACATTCAGAAAGGTCCTCCCTGTAACCCAAGCTCCTGTCCTCCAGGGACAGTCCGAGCCACCCTGCCTAGACAGCAATGGACTGAGAGGTGTGCACCTTCCTGCTTCTCTGCTCACAATCTGCCATCAGGAGCGGACAGCGGACAGTACTGGGGGCTGGAGGAGGCCTGTGTGTTCTGGGATGAGGAAAGGGTGGTTACTATGGAGGCAGTCAGGGATGGGACAGATAGGACAGGAGGGGGCAGCAGGCCCTGGTTGTGAAGGTGGTGCCTCCTTCACAAAACACACCTTCCGAGCCTCAAGCTGAGTGGGTCGGAGACTTGTGGTCTCATCTGAGGGTCTGAGAAGCCTCATGTCCTGCCAGTCCTCATCACCAGACTCACAAGCTTCAAGAGGCTGTGGTTGTGCTGGGCAGCAGATCTCCTGTCTTGTAACCCACTTACCATCCCTGATCTGACAGGGAAGATTGGGTACAGGGCAGAGTCCCCGAGAAACCTGCAGGCCATGGGACACTAGTGACCTCCACTGAGCTTCCAGCCTGTTGACTTGGTAAATGCCCTTCTCCTGGAGCCCCAACTTTGCTACTGTGGTCTTTTAAAAAGAGATTCCCCAAACCACGTTAGAAGCTGGCCCTGGGGTCTGGAGAGAGCAGCCTGTCTACCTGACCCCAAGAACATCCATGTGCTTTCAAGTACTGTAGAGACCTGAGGGGCTGTGCAGGGACTGACAGAAGACCCACAGCTGCCTTTTCCCTTAGAGGATGAGTGCTGCCACTTGGGGAACAATCTGTGAGAACTGCCCAGGTATGGGAGGCAGATAGGGACAAGTCCTAGCACCTGTGTAGCCCACGGCATGGCAGCCCAGGGCACAGCTTCCAGTGCTGGGGATAGAGATGTTTAAGATAGCATCTACACCTCTACTGCCAATAACCATGAAGGCTTACACCTGCTAATTCCAGCACTCAGGAGGCAGAGGCAGGGGGAATGCCACAAGTCTGAGGGCAACCAGGGTTAGCCTGTACACTAATTCCAGCCCCTGGAAGGCAGAAGCAGGAAGATGGCTGCAACCCCAGGGCCACCGAGTGACTCGACCCCATGCACGCACAGCAACATTAGGACTGTAACACTGCCAGGACCCATGCTACACACAGGAGAATGGGAAGCTCCCACACCCTACTCTTGAGCATGTCTGAGAGCCATGGCTACTTGCTAGCAACTGCCCCCACCCCACAAAGTGGTCTGCATTCCTCAGGGAAGTCGATGAGCCAGACAGTGCAACTTAATTGGGCAAAGAGATGTCACAAATGTACACTTTGGCCTTTGCCTGTCTCCTAAGTCTTGTGACTTGTACTCAAGCACGCTCCTTGCATTTCCTCAAAAAGTAGGGATTTCTAGAATTGTAAAAGCACTTCAAAAGAGGCAAAGGTGTAACGTGTCTCAAACCAGGCCAGTTCGAACAAGTGTCCAGAGCACATGGTCAATTATAACACAAATCTCTAGTCATTTTTGCCTGAAGAGATTTTAGGTTCTGACTAGCTCTGGGTTCCCTCATCTGAAGGGTGGTTGGCCAGGGACTCCTCCACATGGTTGCCTTGGCAACTGACAGCACTGTCCACCAGAGCTGAGTCCTGCACTGCCTCAGAGCCCTTCTAGACAGAGCATCATCATTGTGTCCCAACAGGGCACACTTTCTGGAGGAGTTGCATGCCCCAAATCCTTACTGATTGAGCTTGGACTGAGGTCTGCCTCAACACCGCATGTAGGGAAGGTGTCTGGCCCACACCCGTATCCACCGCTTGCAGGCTTGCCTTCTGGATGAACTGAAGAACAATCTGGTAGGAGATGCTGAAGACCATAGACCACTGAAGTACAAAGCAAGGTGGGGGGCAAACTTAGGAAGGCCAGCTGCTGCTGCGTCTCTGAAATCTGCTACAAAATTCATGTCAGGTCTTCTGACCAACTTCATGTCCATGTTCCTGAGGTGAGCAGTTGTTCTTGGAGAAGTGCTACTGGGGGTGTGCTCTGAGGTTTCAGAAGACTGGTTCCACACAAGCACTCTGCCCTGCTTGTGGTTAGACACGAGCTCTCAGCTATTCCGGTGGTACTGCCTTTGCTCTGCCATCATGGACTGTAACGATCTGACACCATAAGCCCAGGTACACACTTCCCTCTGTAAGCTGCCTCAGTGTTATCAGCAATAGACAAGTAACTAACACACCAGGTTAGCTCACTTTCCTTGGGCAAGAGTAAGGTTTCTGAAAGCTGGCCCATACTACAGTCTAGATCCCAAGAGCCACCAGAGATCCTGGTGCTTAAGGCTTGGTAATACTGGGAGAAATGTGAACCATCAAAGGTAGGTCACTTGGGTGTGAAGGGACTATTAGTCCCTGGCCCTCCTGTTTGCACCTGGCCTCTTTAAGTGAACCCTTCATCAACACACATGCCTACCACAGGCCCCATGTGACAGAGCTACTTCTGAAACCATGAGCTAACACAAGCCCGCTGCCTTCTTCCCTAAGCATTCCAGAAACCTTGTCCTAAGTGTAAGGCCAGCATATCCCAGGTACACCGACGCAGCTCTTAGCTTTGCAATTCTGACTGGCAGCTTTCCCCAACGCTGAGGGTGTCCAACCCTTTGGACTGGAGGGAGAGACACGTTCACAGGGGATACTCCCAGCCTCCGGGAAGCCAGGTAGGGCTAACTGAACAGCACACAGTAATTTTCTTTTGTCATACAGTGATTCTTGTACTGATCCCAGATTCCTTAAGAACACTGTCTTTTGTTCATATCCATGCAATGGCCCGCATCCTAACAGCAGGTGTTATTCTGTTTGACAGGAGCTGGGGGGAGGGGGGTGAGAAACTACCCCTACAACTTCTGTTTCCTACTCTCACCATCCTTAAGTGCTCCCAAAAGATTGCAACTTGCAACTCCTGCATTGAACACATCAAATCTAAAATGCCAAGACACACACATGGAAATCATCTCAAGGAAGATGACGCAACACAGTTTGTGAGATAAGAAAAATAAGGAGTTTAATAATTCCAAGGGTGTAGCACACACGCTGCAGTAGTCAACCCCCGTGCGGTCTGCCAGCACCAGGTTTCCTGTAGTGTCCCAGGGAAGGAGGAGTTGGTCTGAAGTGCACAGGGCACACAGGCAGCAGCCGGGAGACAACGGTGGGGCGTCAGAGGCTGCTACAACTGCAGCATGGTTCAGAACGGAAAGTGCTTCACATCTACAGGACAGGAAATGGCTTGATCCCCCTCATCCCTTACAGAACATGGAGGACTTAAGAGTTGGTGAGAGGTGCCCTGTTGTTGCTGTTGGTATCAAAGCTCCACCCGCAGAGGCACAGGAGAGAGAAGTGTGTGTGTACACCAGGGCCGGTTTAAAAAGAACTGCTCTTGGGTGCAGATTCTCGCTCCCTGAAGAGCCTGGAAGACACTGGATCCTCAGAAAGACAAGGCAGCGTGCTGACAACGCTAACCACCCTGTGCAGGGTAGGGATACTGGGAACATGAATACTCATGGAACACTCCAAGTGAATCATTAAGGCAGGCCTGTAAGAAATTGTCCTGGGGCATGGACAGCAACCTCGGCAGTGGCAAAGATGGTCTTTGCTTCCTGTAGGCGGAGGTCTGCCCAGCACCGGGCACCTGTTGCCAGCAGTGGAGTTGCAAGGAGTGCTGTTCCTGAGTCGAGACCTGCTGTGAGAGCAAACACACTGGCTTTTGCTGCAGTGTCTTGGGTCAGCAGAGTGCCTGGAAAACAGGGCTTACCAAAAAAAAAAAAAAAAAAAAAAAAAAAAAGGAACACCTCAGCTTTTCTCACCCGGCACGGACTAAGCTGGTGCTAACAGGAGTGGGAGGCTCTGGTGGATCCTGACAGACACAACCAGCTAGAGTGTGGAGGAAAGAGAGAGCACAAACAGCCTCCAAGTGCCCACACAGAAACCTCCACACAGACGGGCGGGCAGGGCTGGGTCCCATCTTAGGGGGAGAGGCTGTGCTGAGGCCCAGCGGCCACAGGCTCCTCAGTGTTTAAAGACAAACACCTTTCTAAGGGAAAGGATTTCTGACCTCAAAACCACCTCTTTGGAGAAAGGAAGAGGACAGCCAAGCTCCTGAGGTCACTGTCACTGTCGCCAAACCAGGGGCAAGCCTGGCCCAACAGAAACAGGGCCTCGTGCCCAGGACACCAGCCTTCCAGGGCCTGCCTAGACCTGGGGAGGCAGCAAAGTAGGGCGTGGGCACAGCACTTGAGGGCTCTCAATGTGCTGCTCCACTCGGGTGTGTATTGCTTTATTCCTGCTCAGAGGGAGAGGAGGGCTTTCAGTGGCCTGGACAATGGTGACTGCAGCCAAAGGCAGAGCAGGGCTCGTGGATGAAAACAGCCTACAGCCAAACCCTGCCCAGCAGCACCGGCTAGAAAATATGGAATAAATAATACATCTATGTACAGGGTCACGATATACGAGGCTAGCCCACTTCTCCACACTGACCGAGGGCCCAGACAGGACAGGGCAGCAGAGGAGGGCATCAGGCAGATAGCAGTCTCCCCCCATGATGCCCTGGGCACAGTCATAGCTCAGGACTGGAATACTGCAGTTGAGAACAGACACAGAGTCACTGTGCCCGAGGGCCTGCTCCTGATGGCACCATGGAGCCCACGCTGCACACGAGTCAAGACAGCTGCCTGGGCATCTCCTCACCTTTCTGCTTTCAACACTTCACCAAGACAACTTCAGATCGCTGTGGCCAGAAAGGCTGAGAAGGAAATCCTAGCAGGAGGGTTAGCCCAGTCCCATCTCAGGTATGTGTTCAGATCTCAGTATTTACAAGGAGTACACAGGTATGCTATTTATAGATTCAACTGAAGTCCAAAAGCCAAAGGACTCTGGTCAGTCACTGCATGGAGAAGTGGCAGAGAGTTGCTCACTCAGCCCAGGCCTCAGTGTCTGTGACTCACAGGCAGTTCCTGCAGCAACAGCTTCATTACTGCTGCTCGCCTGATGGAGACCACCTTCCTCAGTCCTGAATGTCACTGTGCCTTGCCCAGGAGCTGCTGGTCTCCAGCCTGTGAGCATCAAGTCAGCCTATAGATTGGTCTCATCCCAAGCAGGGTCGTTCATGTTCTTTAGAACCTTCCTCACCAGCTTCTCCAGGTCCTTGCGGGCCCTCTGTTCCTCCTCCAAGGACTTCTTCATCTTCTTGTTGTCCTGTAAGGCAGGCAGATGACAGCAAGCTCACTACCTTGGCACCTACAACATCCCTCATCTTAGCTGAGTCCTTAGGTAGCCCAGGTTGGGAGGGGCTGGCCTAGCGGACTGAGCCGTGAATGTACCCTGAACAGTAATGGCCGTCTCCTACTTATACACATAAAGATAAGTTGAGGAAACATGGCAGAAGGAAGGGGCTGGTAACAGTGGCGGGAACAGTGTCTACAGACCTACTGCTAGCATTTTTAACTCCCCTGTCCAGCCAAATGCAGAAGAGAATGAAGCACATCAGGATGGAAGGAAAGCGTACTGCCCCGAACATGGGAAGGAGTGATAGGCACTGCCCAGTGTGTGCAGCTCCCTCGCCCTCAGGACACTGCTGCTCTGTTCCTCCAAAGCAAGGAGGGAAGAGAACCAGCCCCACATGTGCCATGCCACACACCCCAGCCCACATCATACACACAAAGTCATAAAAGCACAACTTAAGTTAGGCAAAAGACCGTCACACACATGGCAGGCTAAGTACCACGGTGCCCAGTATCCTATATCGCTCCAGCAAACCCAAGGCAGCTCGCCCCCAAACAGCAGGGCTCCACAGGCAGGCATCTCCTGCCTCTCACTCTTGTGTTTTAACATGAGAGTTTAGAGAATTCTTTTTTAGACTGTGTGTGTGTGTATGTGTTTGTGTGTGTGTGCACGTGCATGTATGTGTGCACTGTTTTATATGTGGGGTGTTTTTCCTGCATGCATGGCTGAGTACAATGTGTATGCAGTACCCACAGAGGCCAGAAGGCAGCAGTAGATGCCCCAGGATTGGCGTTGACAGATAAGCTGCTGTGTGGCTGTGTACACTGAACTTGGGTCTCTTAACCACTGCACAGTCTCTCCAGCTCTTGCCTGACACTCCTGAGAAAGGCTGCTGACTTTGTGGCTTCCTTTTAGTACATAATGAGCCTCATGTTTAAAACCGTATTTCCTCTTTTCTCCCATTTAAAAAAAAAAAAAAAGACTGATTTAAAGTAAATCTAGTTGGCTTACCTGTCTTAACTCTTGGACTTCATCCTTTAATGCGTACACTGTATCCACGAGGCTCCTGAAACAGGAGAGTGAGTAAGCACAAGAAAGGCATTGGTGGGCCAACAAGGCACAGACTGGCAGAGCCTCCAGGGCGGAGCCCACCTGGGTACTTCAAGCAAACCCTAAGCCTAGACCGTCACCCATCAGTGGGGCTGCACCCCAGCCTTCGGCAGACTTTAGAGATTGCGTCAGCCATGGGATGGAGTGGGGTGGGGGTGGGGGGAGGCAGCCATAACGGAATAGAAAACCATCTTACTTTTCCTCTATCACTGTCTGCCCGTTGCTCTTGGTTTCTTCGACTATAATTTTTTCTTCTTCTGGAAGCAATACTTGTGGAGCAGATTCTTTGCGTGAACCTGGGTCATTAAGAAGAGAAGGCCCATGTGACTGCACGCGAGGAGCAGAAAAGGGCGCCTACTTCACTACACACCACTTATCATATAGTGCCAGTGATTACACAGTAAAATCTTTGACCACTTTTCTCCAGCTGTCTGTTGACTGTGGCCAACCAAAACATTACAGAGCAAGGGAAACAGCAAAGGCAAACTAAGTAAAAATAGCCTCTTTTGCGACTTATTAAATTCTTTTAAATACGTTAATCTTCAACAGCAAGTACACTAAAGGTCTGACCACACTGCACTCAACACACAATCAAAGTTTAAACCATTACACCATAGCAGCAGTGCTGGAAAGACCAGACCAGACCATGAAAGAATGCGGAATTTTTGTGCTTAGAAATAAAGAAAAAGTCTGGCAAATGAAAAAAAGTTTCAGGGCTGGAGTGGTAGCCCAGTGTTAAGGGCTAAGATTCACAGCTAAAACATCTGAGTGTACAGTAACAAGTCTTTAAAAAATCAGTAACATTGTAACACATGGAAAAATTGGTAACATTGTAACACATGGTTTAGGAAAAATGAGGGTCTCAGTCCCCTTCAGATGGGCAGCAGGGACGCTACCCACAGCATAAGAGGCATACGGTCCTGGCACAGACACTGACTGGTGACCACCTCATATAACACCCACTGTGCCTCAGTCATTGGCCTTGAAAGGGAATGTACCAGAAAGAAGAATTACCCGGTATGATTATTCTTATTGTTTCTGATTATTCTCATTGTTTTTGAGCACTGCCACCAGACCTGCACTGGAGAAAGGATGGGCTCTGTATGAATATGGACGCCTGCTGAGGGCTGTGCTTGTCTCAGCTCTTCTGAGGAAAGCACCCGGCATGAGGCAAGATGACTGTGCACAAGGGGTTAATTTGCTTTTGTGTTTCTAGGGTGCCCTTTGTATGTCTTTCTGAAAGCATATCAGATTTTAAGGAGCATTTCTTGTGCACCCTTGTTGGCATGGAAACCCTAGAATAGTGTTTGAGAGAGAAAACTGTGAAGAGCAGCTTTGCCCGCAATTTAACCCAAGTCTGTGCTTCTCTGAATGACTCGAGGTGAGCCGCTGCTGTCTAGGTTTATGAAATGTCTCTGGCATTTAGGGACATATAGCTGTCCACCAGGGCAACTATGGGGCCTGGAAGACTGTGGTCTCGGGTACATGGCCCCAGGTCATTCTCTGTGTATCTGCCATGCCTGTTGCAGTGGAAGGTGCTCAATCAAGCCCAGAATGACAGAGACTGGAAAACATATTGGGAGTTCAGGGGTGGCCATCAAGACAGGTCTATGTCACAACTTTGTCAGTTAAAGAGGGGGCCTGTATACGGTGAGGTACTCCAGCCTTGACTCCCGTGTGAGTAGGTAAAAGGTTGTCAACATCCTAATATGCTGCTCAGAGTATATTCTTTGTGAAAGACTATCCAAAATGATGGCCATCCCACCTGGAGGGATTACAGCTACGTGGTCTACTGAGGACATACCACCTATCTTTCTCTCTGTGTCTCACTAAAGTCCTGGAGATGGTAGGCTTTAAGACACAGCCCTAGGGAGGAACATGTTTTAAAAACCACCAGCTGGCTGACAGTGTCAACCCTGCCCCCACCCTCAGCAGAGTGCAAGTGAGAGGCAGTTGTCCTTTCTGGACAGCCTCCTTGATTTAGCAGGAGCCTACTCTGAAGCTCCTTTCTTGCTGAGCATTGATGGACACACAGGTCCAGAGGGAAACAGAAAGCACCAGGCGTGTTGACATGTGCCTCCCACATGAGGGCCGGTGTCTTTAGAAGAAATTAATGCATGCTCAAAGTGTCAAAAAATAAGGATTCCAAAGATTTAGGTCTTTGAGCTGCTGGAGCCCAGCTCCTGGGTGAAGGGGTGGAACCAGGACAGCACTCGGGTGGCTCTGCAGGCTTCCCACCGTTATCCCGCAGCCCAGTGTTCTGCTTGGGCTGACTGCTGATGACTGTGTTAGCCCCAAATTAAAAAGTCTTGGTGACTACCCTGTCACGTTAAACTTACTATAGGCTTGAGAAGGACCGGCAGATGAGGCCCAGCGAGGCTTCATCACCTTACCAGAGCAGCGCGGTCTGTGCACTTCCTCTCAGGTCTTTGTGTTTTCTCACTGAAAGATCTGTTTCTAACATTAAAGCTTCCAGACTATGTAACAGACCGAGGGTGCGACTGTCCAGACTCACTCACCAAGGACACTATGCTGAATGAAGGTTGACCTTTCAGTCAGCCACTGAGCATCCAGTCAAAACTTGGAACAACCTTCTCTACAGAGGTGTTCTGACAGCCAGCTCTTACCAAATGAAGTCCCAAGTAAAACCCATGAGCTCCAGTAAGTAACACAATGGATTTGAGAACTAAACTTTATGGCCCCAGTGATCAGCTGAAAACACCTGACAGGGTCCTGGACGTGAAACTGCTGTGTGCACAGGGCCCCTAAGAACTCAGTCAGAGTTACAGTTTGGAGCTGCGCTCTGGGCTGCAGGTGTCGCTGCTCCAGCTCTGAGACAGGCAGAGGGGACCGCTGTTGAAGCTGACAGTGGGTGACAGGCCTGTAACAGAGACTGCTCATCTATACAGCAGACATCTGTCAGGTCTCTACAAGCCACCCACCTTTCAACACAACGTGCATTGCTAAAATGATTTTTTTTTTAAATGTATAAGCCGCCTTTCAACAAAACAATGAAATATAGCAAAGCCAGGTTTGTAAGTCTGCGGATTATTTTAAGAACAACAGTGTTCTAAAATACATACATAACACTATAACTGAAACATTACTAGGCTTAGAGGCATCATAGCACAGTTTTCTTGAATACCTAGCTTGGAAAAAAAGCATGTAACCACAGAAGCAGAGACTTTTTTAGTACTTTACATGAAGTCCCATCACAGGAGCTTAGATACGTTAGTTAGCACACTGTGAAGGCTCTGCACAGTGGACAGCTGTCTTTTTACACGCTGTGGTCCTTGGGGGGATGGAGTCAGGATCTGTTGTTGCTTTCCTGAAAGTCTGCATGCGGCCCTTTCCTGGAAGTTCACAGCGTACTTCTAGAACTACAGGTTTGGGGAAGGCAACATAAAAGTACTCCTTTTATTATAACTGAGTCCATCCAGAGCTCCTCGTCTAAGCAGCGGACCTGTTAAATCTCAGCATCAGTATGAGCTGTGGTGCTTATGGGCAACAGCATGAGAAGTGCCAGGTGGCGCCACAGCCCCTACAAAAACTGTCAGTCTGCCCTTACCCGTCACTATGACCTCCGCGTGCAAGTGGAGCAAAAGACGCATGCGTAAGACAGAACAGTTTGCAATCAGCCCAACCTGGCACTTCTCATGCAGACTCTGTGTCTCACCAACCTCAAGTCCTGTGTGACAATTTTACAAGGTCATGTTTTGGGGACACTGGCATGCTGAGGATGCCTGCAGGCTCTAGGTCCTATGGCAACACCCACTCACAGATGTGATTCAAGACAGAGAACATGTCCACAGCAACAGAAACACAAGAGTCAAACACTAGTAGTCTTGGAATCCTGCCCTGCATTGTCAAAGGCCACCAGGCAGTGGGTCTCACTTGAGAAACACAGATCTAAGTAGGCTACCATAGCCAAGGATCACCCCAGGCTCCTCCCTCACGCCAGGGACTGCTGGATGACGCAGACTAGGACTCAGCAATAACTAAGTCAACTGTCCAACTCACACCCTGTGTATGTTAAGTATGTGGGCACACACAGGAATGTGTTTGCCTGTACCCAAAGCAGTAACTAAGTCTGTCACAAAAGAGCATCAGCCCATCTGGCCAGTGGCCTGACACACTTGTGACACACTTGTGACACACTTGTGACATGCTCTTGCATCATTTAAACACAACTGATGCTCCTTTCAGGACGAAACAAAGCACTGCACGTAGAGGTCTCGTCAGGAGCACCCAAGCCTCACAGGCTACACTGCCTATGGCTCTGAGACGTGGACTGGCTTTTCCAACCTAGTAAAAGGAAGGGCTGTCACTAGGAAGGGCGTTCCCTTCTAAATTAGGCATGCACTTTGCAAAACGGAAGAGAAATGCTGGCCCTGGGCCAAATGAAGGACTTAAAAACTGAGTTTCTTTTCACCTGTGAGAAGGGGATGCTGCTTCTAAGGACAAGGTTCTCAGTAATAGAAAACAGGAAAAAAGCAGCTGGGCCTGGGGACACACACCTTCCATCCCACCTTCCAGGGAAGAAGTGGGCAGAGCTCTGTGAGTTCCAGGCATCCAGAACTACAAAGAGAGACCCTTAGAATACACCTCACCTAAGAAAGTGCCAGTCCTCCATCACGGCAAACAGAATGCATGCCCGTGGACGATGCCAGCTTGAGAGAACTGGCCATGGCACACTCAACTTCAAACTATGCTATGCCCTCCCCCACATAACAAATATTAAAAGCCAAGGGCTAGCAAATGCAAAATTTATTTCAACTGTACAGAACAGATGTCTTTTTAAATATAAAACAGACACTTCATTGCCATATGCAACCACAGACAATAAGCATACTGTACAATACAATGCAACATTCAGATATACATCCAAGTGAGATTTCAAATGGGAGTCTTGTACTAAAATGGCTTTTCCCATTCACAGATAAAGAGCACAATATATAATTTCCCCCAGATCTTATACCACTATATACATATTATTGTGTTTTGGCAATCTTATGCCAAACACAGAGTTAGTGTAGCTTAATAAAGACTTCTGGCGAGGATCAGTTAGACAGGAACACTGCTGGGCCACCTGCAGAAGGCCCGGGATGGCTTGGACCTACCTTCTCCATCAAGTCTGCATCCTTCCGTTAACACTCACTGCACACAGGGCTTTACAGAGCTGCAGAAATGTTAGGTGCTATCAGCATGACTACCGTTCCACAACCGTAGAAACGATGCCCCTCCAACGCTGGGTCCCCTCTGCCACATGAGGACCATCTCCTGGGCCTGTGGCACTAACAAATTTCTAACCAGGTCACAAAACTAATGTCAGACATTCCAAACAAACGCAAAGAGGTTGAGCTGTTGTTCCACAGCGTCGGCCTCAACAGAACGTGTCACCCAAACAGTGCTGACTGGTACAAATGAGCAAGTGCAAACTGTCAGAGCCAGCTCAGCAAGCCGATAGCGAGGGCTCCTCGAGACAGCAGTGCTCCTCGAGACTTCACTCGGAGTTATGAGCAAACCCCAAGTACAGGAGCTGTGCCTCGCTGTTGCCCCACACAGCTTAGGACAGGCAACCCATCCTAAGGCAGAGTCGGCAAAGACAACTGCCACGTGGGTGCAACAACAGAGCTGTCTCTGTCACTAAATACACAGACATTTTATGTTTTGTTTTGTTTTTCAAAAATCTGATGTGCTATCTGCTGAATCCATACCACCTTATTCCTACTGGAAGTTAACACTGGGTGCAAGCTTCAAAGGCTTGCTCCTTTGACTTTCTTATAAAAATACAACCTCTGATTCAGGGGCAAAGTCGCTCCAGAGTCACTGGGGACAGACAGCCTCAGAGGCAGCAGCTGAGCTGCCCCAGCAGCTCCAGGCCAACCTCCCTCCCTTCCTCCCTCCTTCCCTCCCTCCCTCCGTGCACGAGCTCCTCTACTAAAAGCAGCAGGACCAGCTCCAGGAGAGGGAACAAAGGGGTCCAAATACTGTATCCACTAGCTTGGCAAGAAGGACTGAAGTCATGGCCACCAGAGCTCCATACCCTGAAGGATGGAAAGAATATTGTTCCCTATGGACACTGTGGCCCTGCTTCTAAAGCAGGTGTCCACCAACACTAACATACAGCCCTAAGGTTGCACTGCAACACCGCAGTACACAGGGCCATGCTGCCTCTCCAGCAGCTAGCTGTGGCTGTCCGCTCTAACCAATGCAGCCTGCCATTCAGTTCTTCTCAGGGCCAGTGCAGACACCTTACAACAAACCCCAGGGTTCTGAGGGATCGTCTCCCAGGCCACCCTGTGGGACTGAGAATGCTCAGTCTTCCAGACTGCACTGTGCTGAGTACAGGGCTGCAGGAAATAGCTTCACTGAAACCACGAGGTGCTCATGGCTCTCACAGCGTAGTGTGGATGTGGGGCAGCCAGGCTGCAGCCAAGCCAAGCACTCACCACACCGCTGTAAATGCCTGGGGTGCACAGCCTTGATGGTACCCCGTACCAGTCAGCACTGTGGCTCAGGGAAGTGTGGTGCAATGGTGAGAGTTCTCACCTCACAGCCATGCCACACACAGGAAAAGGCACAGAGCAATGGGTGGAGACAGACTCCAGACTCTGCTCTCAACACCCAGTGGCACCACCCTGGTGTGCATCGCCCCTGCATGGAGTCCAAGCGGTGTTCTGCACCGGCACCAGAGCAGCTGTCAGCTGACTCGGTGCTTTGGTCACAGACAACCCTCTCAATCTCTCCACAGCTACTTGGTCAAGTGCATTATACATTTAAAAAAAAAAAAAAATTAGATCCCTGTGTGTATAAGGCTAGTCTTCTCCGTTGTGGCACTTGGACGCAAACCTAGGTGGCTGCATAAAATAGAAAAGTGTCCATACGGCTGTATCCAAAAGGAAGTGAAACAGTTGCTACATGGAGCTTGTATTAAAAAAAAAAAAAAAACAAACCTGCTCCCTATTGGGAAAAGCCCATCAGGTACTCACTGGACTCACCGCCTCCCTCCAACAGGCAGCAGTTAAAATTCATTCTTAGATTGGCAATTAAGCCTCCACTAGGTACAATGGGAAATACCAAGACACTCTCCAGAGTTGTTAAAATATCACATAAGAGAGACAAGGAACAGCAAGAAACGTCTAAGAAAAGCAGGCTGCAGTACAAGCATTGTTAAGAAAGGCTCAGTGCGTTAGTTCTGGTGAGAGATATATGAGCAGCAGCTCTTACGGGATGCAGAACCCATTCTGTAACTATGGGCTGTCCATATACTGTCATACTCAGAGTCTTCCGAGAGGTCTGAGGGCTCCAAACGAGAAAGGCTACTGCGACGACCCAAGGAGTCTAGACTTGATTGGTCGTCATCAGCCAAGACGTGATTATGCATCAGGTCAGTGCCTTGCCATGCTAAGACGGATGAAGTGACAGGTGCGACAGGCAGAGGGGTGAGGAGGGACGGACAGGAGAGCCACAACCAAAACATGGAACAAAAGCAAAAGGTGATGGGAAGAGAAGGGAAAGAGAAAACATTGTTAAAAAATGGCAACATGTCTGCTTCTCCTCACTCACTGCTGGGCTTTCCTAACGCGCTTACTCAGCACAGCCCTCAGAATAAACCTGATTCTTTCTAAGCCCAACAAGTCACAGTCCTGCTGCAAATGGCTGCATCTCAAGATACCTGTATATCCCAGCTAAAAAGTCTACACATTCATTCATGGCCAAAACATGATTCTATAAACTCTTGGCAATTAACCAATTCTACCGGCAATTTACTTAGGACATAATTTGTAAAAAGATATTAATTACGTGGCCTTAACAGTATCTATCTTGTTCACCCCTTTGGTTACTCCTCAGCAGGTGCCTAAACTTACCGTGTGAGTCTACAAACTGCCCCAGCCTCAAAGTCTGTGTGTAGACAAAGGGACAGAGTGGTCCCTGGCTCCCCACTCCCAGTCAGCCCTGGCAGAGTGTGTTCCTACGTCACCTCCCCTGATGTGGAACCTCAACCATCAGAAAGGTGAGTACAGACTGGCAATGCCACCACGTGGAAAGGGAGTTGACAGGAAGCAGGGACAAGGGAATGGTGCAGAAGGAACTGCATGCGTGGTTAGCAAGGTGAGCGTGAGCTGGCCAGCAGCTAGGTGGGCATGCAAGGCTGTATGGGGCTCCTGTAGGGAGAAACCACAGGAAAGCCTCAGCAACCAAAGTAGGCTGTGTTCCAAATCTGTGAAGGCCATTCCTTCTTTGAGACAGAAAACAATGCCAACTGTGTTCAGTTTGCAAAGTCCTGTTAGCATCCAAAAATGTACTGAACAGAGCAAAGCTTTAGGTAAGGATATATTAGCATTCTCAAAGCATTCTGCTAGGCATTTAATATGGAAATGTGCTCGCTGTGAACCCATCTCCAAATGCCCTCATCAACCATATCACCTGAGCAGCACAAACTGTGCGCCTATCTTGTTTCTCGGAGTGCTAAGAGGAAGCCATGTATGGCTGTAAACTGAGGCCCCAGGATGCCGGCTGGGACACAGAGCATCAACTGAATGCAACACTCGGCACATGACCGTGCTTTCTGGCATGGAAGGAATGGAATACAGAGCATGGGCCGGGCAACAAAAACTACAGGCTGCCCTACTCAGGCAGCCACAGCTCACCCCAGGGCACGGCCTTTCCCCAGAGGGAATTATAGCCTGTGTCACATGCGGGAATTCACAGAGTAGCCAAGGTCACCTGGGATTCTGAGCTGGGGATTCTCATTTCTCTTTAAAGTGAGGTGACTAATTAAAACCACACATCTAAAATCTATGAAATTGCTGGCTATGGTTACAACCTCTCAGAATACATCACATTTAATCATCAAAATTATATTTATGAGTCACTCTTCAACCATCACAAAGTACATTCCACAGCTTGCTAGGGAACCCAGGCTTCCTTCCCCATGTCTCTCCTACTCCTCTGAGCAGTTACAACTGGTTCTTCCTTAGAGATGGTCGGGACAGAAAGAGACCTCGCTGACCTTACTAACACCGTAAGCAGAAGGCAGTGCAGAGCTGCAGATACTGCGAGTGGAAGAGGAGGCCCCTCTACACCTGCAGACGCTACCTGGGGCTGCGCCTGCCAAACCTGCTGGCTAAGCTGCAGGTTCTTTAATCAAAGCTCGAACGGCTGAAAAGCCTCTCCCACCTTTCCTGTCTGTTCAGGATTTGCAATACGTGATCTGAGCCCCCACCCTGAAGGTGTTGTTAAAATGTGGAGGTATCTCTCCAAAAACTGGGGTGGAGAGGGGACAAGGTAGAAGATCCACAGCAACCAGTTTCTCTGCCAACCAGCCAGCTCCAAAACAGAGGGAGGACTGCAGGGCCATGCCTGCAGGTCAGAGGGCAGTGGCCTCTGGGTCAGGCAGTGCTCCTGGATGACACCACAGTGCAGACTCCTACCTGTGAGGAGTTAAGAGAAACTACCTGGCATTCACCAAAGAAACTACCATTGTTTATTAACAAGTATTAAAAACAAAATAAAATTTAAAGATGATAGAAAGATGGCTCAGATTTGAATTTTAGATAATTTTTAAAAGGAAAAAAAAAGACCCAGTAACACCAAAAAACAAACAAACAACAACAACAAAAAAAAAAGAGCAAAAATAAAGAAACCTCCACTGCCTTCTGCATGCATCTGCACAGTTAAAGTTTCCTGAGGGATGCTGGTCCTCACACTGGATGCTCTCTAGAACACAGTCCTGGGGCACACTGCTACACTACCTGCTAAACTCCCAAAACCTCCCTCTCAAGACCAGCTAGTCCGAGCAGCAAGTGCTTGTAATCTGTGCCCACACAGAGTGAGCTGGGACACTCACTCGAGTTCAGGGTCTGCCTCGTCTTTGCGCTTGTGCAGTAAGCTTCGATGACCTTCAGGATCTGAGCATCTTCTTCCAGAGCAGCTGTGCCTGTAGAGACACATGAGCCATCACCACTCAGCACACAGCCCAGAGCTACAGTGCACTTCAGATGCTACTCTTCATGTTCTTGTGGGCTAAGATTTAGATTCTCTAAATAGTTATACATAGGCACATTCAAGAGCTTTTAAAAGTTTGAAATTCACACACTGCAAAGGGTTAGCATCACAGCTCTGAAAAGTCCTAAGTCCCTCAGTTTCCCCACCCACACACCAGACAGTCAGCACAAGACTGGGATACTCGGCCTACCGGACACAGGAGTAGCATAGACATCACGCCTCATGAGAGCTACGCACTCCAAGTGTCATAGGGTGGGCCTTGACACAGTGTGGGTAGGAGAGCTGGATAGCCACAGCAGGAAACTTCTGGAAAGGCACCAGATCACAGGCCTTAAAGGGGCACTGTCTCTTCTGACTCTGGGATTCTTAGACACTGAGGTAACAAATTTACCATGCCAAGCATACAAATGCTTCAAAGCTCTGCCTGAGATGTAGTCCAGCCACCTAGGTACAGGTTTCATCTCCAGGGAGAGGCCAGAAGAACCTGTCAGGCAATGACCGTCATAGCCTCTTAGCCCTGTGCTCAGAACACAGTCACATGTGGAAGAAAGCCACTTGCTTCCTATTGTTCTCTTCTGGTTCTGTCTGAAGTTACTTAGCTATAGTCTTCTTTTCTTTTTTAATTCACCTGCTCTAAAACCATGAGAGAACGGAAGGCTGTTCCTCTCACAGCTGTAAATAACTGTGCCTCAGTAACTTTTATGGATGTATTTATTTCACACAAGGTCTCACTATGTAGCCTTGATATTTCTAGAACTTGCTATGTGGCAAGGCTGGCCTCTTATCTTACAGAGATGTCTGCCCCAGCCTCTGGAGTGCTGGAACTAAAGGCATGCACCACCATATCCAGCTCTCAGCAATATTTTAAGAAAGTAAAATGTATATAAGGCAAACCTAGTATTTACTTCAAGTAATTCTGTGAGCACCTGGCTCATCACCTGCAGCAAGTCCTCAGGCAGGTTCCCACAGCACGAGGTTTCCTCAGAGGCTGCGGGACACTGAGGGAAAGGTCTCCTTCCTTCTGGGCAGCAGAAGCTACCTTCACTCAGGGTGCTCTGTCTGGCTGCTGTTACCAGTTGCTCTTCTCACACTTGTGTGAGCATGTACACACCACACAAGGGCAGAGAGCACCACTGAAGCCAGAAGCACAGTGCAGGCTCGCTGCGTGCACAGCCATGCCAGCTGCTCTCCTCACAGCTGCAGACGTTCTCCTGTATTCAGTGTGGACTACCTCAGGGACACAGAATGTCCTAGCCTTCCAAGATAACCAAGTTACCCAACTACAGAAGCTTTAGAGAGGGGAGGTCTGCTGAGCATCTGTCTGACACCAGGTATTGAGTGGGGATCCGGTGGGGATCTGGAACATAACATTTCTCTTCAGCCTTAGTCCCTGGTCTGCCATATCCTCTCCTCCCTAACATGCTGGGACTTCTGGGTAAAGATGAGGTACTAGACTGCCTCTCCTGTGAGCTCTGAGCACACACAGCTTTCAGCTGGGGCAGACCTCTCTCATCAGGACCACAGGCTGACTACCACTCAACCCTGCCTCTGGCTTATGTCTCCCTAATACAGACCCACCCTGGACCAACTACAGCCAAGGGCCCTCAACAAACGCCCACTGTGCCTAGGAGGGGTGCTGCTGCTCTCAGTGTCAACCCTGAGCAGGCTACTCCACAGCATCCTCCTCTCAGCAATGACACCAGTGGCCCCGGCCCCTACCTGGGACAAGTCAAATGCTTTTACACACTGCTCTGTCTCCTGGGTCACTCAAGGACCGGTACTATGGACTTGGTCTCACAGTTCACAGTTGGACACAAAGCGGCATTAAATGTCTGCCAGTACTGAAGGTCTGGTCCCAGCACCCCATCGTGTCGTCATGTGGAAGGTATATGGTAAATGCTTATTCAATCAGTCCACCAGGCAGGCCTGAGCCCAGCCCTACCTCTCCTAACAGACCAGCCACGTGTGAGTAAGGGGACTCTCCGTCTAACTCAGATTAGAGGTCTGCCGGGTGGAACAAAGGCGACAGGAACCACAGCCCCTCAGAGAGGTGGGCTGGAGTGAGGCTGGAAGAGCAGCTGATGCAGGGACTGCTCATCCACTCTGGCACCTGCTTGTGGAGGTGCAGGCCCTGCTCTCCCTGCACTGCCGCTGCCCACGACGTGGCCATGCTCCCACAGGTGGGCACTCACTCTTGCGCACAGCGAACTCCTCGTCCGAAGGCTTCCGCTCGGGCTTGCGCTTCGGCAGCAGCTTCTTCATGGTCTTGGGGCTCTTACTGAGATCCTAGGGAGACACAACAATAAACAGACTGACCAACCGTACGACAGCAGCCGGCCACTCCCATCACCAGCGCCTCCATGTTTCTCTGCCAATGCCAAGAGCCAAGAGGACACTTGGCCAGCCCCAGCACAGGCCACAGCTCTGGGGCAAATGACCCCACTAGTGTACGTGGCAGTAAGGTTTGTGCCGAGAAAAGGAAGGGTAGGTGGCCCACTGGCATGCTCCACATGGCCAGGGCACGGCTGTCCATTCTGGGGATAGAGTGAAGGGAAATTAGTTTACTTCAAAGGGAAGAAAAGTAAAGATTCCTTCAGCAAAGTACAAAATCCCAAAGTTAAAAGCAAAGGGAGCAGGCAGGGAACCATGGCTAAGCACAGACTCACAGAGACGGGCCTTGCTGGCTACTCTGTGCAGGCCCATGTCCCAACTCTGGACAAAGTAGACATGCCCCAGATGCCAGCAGCCGTCTCAGCCTCCTTCCTTTCAGGTAAAACTGCAGCATGCACACAGAACACTGGATGCAGTAGGCACAGGCCTCTGTCTTCACATGGCTGCTCTAACAGATGGGTGAGGCACTTCTAGGGCAGAACAGACTTCCACAGCTAACTCACAGAGATCCTCCTGTCTCTGCATCTGGGGCGGTAGAATTAAAGGCATATGCCACCATGCCGAAACTCAGAAGGAGTTGGCCAACACAAAACGGACTCTGTATTTTGTCTTGTTTTTAAATGAATGCTCGGGTTTTGTCTGTCTTATTTGTTTTTGTTTGTTCTCACTTTTGTTTTTTGGTTTGAGAGTGTGAAAGAGAGAGAAGATGAAGTTGGGTGGGTAGGAAGTGGGAAGGATCTTGGAGGAGACGGGACAGGAGAAAGAATATGATCAAAATGCTGGACTTCATTTTTGAAAGCTCTCTCCTATGGTCCATGGGGGCCTCCAACTTTCTATGCTATAGAGAACCTTGAGCAGAAATCAGTTCCAAAATGTGGCCTTGACAAAACACCCCTGAAATACAGGAGCATCTGCCCAAAGGGCCCTGCTCCATTCACTCTTTCTGTGTGTGGCTCGCGCGCGAGCCACCATGTCAGGCTCTACCTACTGCTAACCCGGCTTCTCAAAGCCAGCAATGCTGAGCCTCCTCAGGTGAAAGCAGGTGAGGTGAGCACAGGAGACTTAGTGAAGATAAAGTGCACAGTGGCAGCTGCACTCACATGCAGGAAAGAGCAGGAGCGGCCTGAGGAAGGTTGCTGCACCCTGCCCTCAGCCCAAGAAGACACTGCCTTCAGGGACTGACTATTTTCACTAGGGAACCTGCTCTTTATGTCCAACAGCCTCAGGACTCCGGGACAGAGCTTAGGCACAGCAGAATGACATGCAGTTAGGTGAGGCCCTCGCAGCCTGCACGAGCACCTCAGGCTCAGTGCCTCCCGGGCACCACTCCTCCAAGTGTGGAAACAGTGCAGAGGACTGGAGGAGTGCACGCCCATTCCATGATGTTTAAAGGTGGCACCTGGCCCTTGTAGCAGAAGGGGATGACACAGAGTAAGGGCAGATACTCTTCTTGGTTCTGAAGATGTCATGGGGTGGGGTGTGTCTTCACACCATAAACAGAAACACAAGACTTTTACTTCTGCAGACCTCACACACAGATGTCAAGGCATGCTCACTGTGGCGGCAGTCTGAGTGGCTGCAGGACCTCACCTCCTTGTAGCAGAGAGCAGCTGAGGGCCGGAGAGGAGGTGCAGGCCGCAGGCAACTCAGGCTCCAAGGCTTGGGGGTCTTCGGAGGCTCCAGGGGTCCCCAGCTGATGGTGGTGTGTGGGGTGCCATGGTGAGAGGGGTGGGGAAGTGTGTGGTACGCAGGCGTCAGTGCCACGGGCTTGCTGTCCGCGTGTTTGCTGGATGGAGTGAGCGGATGGGAAGGAAGCTGCCAGGCACAAAAGCAAGAGCAGAGAGCATGAGATGGGCAAGGCCACAGAGACGGAAGGCCCTAACCACATGGCTCAAGGGCCAGGGGCCCAGCACTGGGTTCCTGGGCAGACATGGGGCTTAGAAACCCACACTCTGTATAGGTATCAGCTGCTGTGTTGTAGTGTATGAGAACCTAGTACATGTATCACAATTTCGCCAAAAACAAACTTTAAAAGCTGGCAGGTAGGTGACCAACTGGAATACAGAGACCGAGTGGGACACGCTCCCTAGACGTACACTGTCACCTGTCAGCACAGGGACAAGAGCAAGGACTGTCCCTTGCCAGAGAGGGGAGGAGGAACTTTTCCCAGGGCGCTGCAGCCACGTCTACCTCATCGATGGCTCTTTCTGCTTGGGCAAACCCAGCTGCCAGAGCTGTGTGAAGCCAGGAACAGAAACCATTTGGTTTATATATAGGAGGATGTTAATATCTAAAATAAAGATATGTTTATCTTAAAAAATCTCAGCTTGTTTTAATAAAAGCAAAGTAATTTGAGATCTGATTCATCAGTGGAGGATGTTATTAACAAGGTTTATTATATTCATAGAAAACCCCCAAATCGACCCCACTGACAATGAAATGAAAATGTTGATAAACTAAGCAACAGTCCAACGAGCTCCTGCATCTCCTGTAGCTAATGCAATCCCAGCGCGATTACAGAAAGCCTCTGCGAAGCTCTGGGAACTCAACACTGGCTGAGCACAAGCCTGAGATTTATGATGTCAGTCAGCACCACAGAGCTAGAACCAGAGCCCAAAGCTCCCGGTCGCCTGCCAGTTGCTGGCTCATGGTATGTTACAAAACACTGTACCACTATAGAATACACTTTCTCAAACCAAGCGACCTGCATGTGAGGAAGCTGTATCCCACATCCCTTCCAGCAGTGATCTGGTAATAACTACACGCTGGCTAGTTTCTCCTTCCTGGAATGAGAAGAGCTATGCCCGATACTAAAGTGAGAGATTAACTGATGCCGGACAGAACAGGTCCCAGGTAGAAAGCTTATATATGCTGCCAAGGGATTCCTAGGAACAGCAGGGCTTCTCACACTAGCACAGGAGGGACACTGCCTTCTCCACAGCAGGACTGCACAGCTGCCTCTGGCAGACTATCTTCTGGCTCCCACTGAACAGAGATGGCAGCCCACACATGCGCAGCCTTGCTTCTTGCCACCCTGCGCTCGTAAACACACACACACACACACACAGGCAGCTCATGTCCCCGGGACAAACTCAGCCCCACGGGAGCTAAGTGGGCTATTTGTTACTACTTTGGTGGCACCAGGGATCAACCCCAGCACCTTGCACATCAGGCAAATGCTCTACCACTGAGCCACACCCCCGATTCCCAGCCTTCTCTTTAGGACCTTCTGAAGTCAGGATAAATTATGGAGCCCAGCCATATAGACTGAGGTGGTAGCTAACACAGCAAGGCATCTGAAACTCCAACTGTGAAAACAGCACAGCCAGACCAGAAAACTGGACCCTGATGTGAGACAGAGCAGACAGCGAACCGCATGGTAGAGGTGTGCTTGTGGGTAACTATGGTGACCCTCTACATGGCAGCATAGATGGGAAAAATGACTTCCACAACAGAAAGTATTCCAAAAGGCACATGAAGAAGGGAAATCCATATCCACAAACTGCATCATCAAAGTTCATTTTTTTTCCCTTTTGTTTTTGGAGACAGGGTTTCTCTGTGTAGTCCTGGCTGCCCTGGAACTCACTCTGTAGACCAGGCTGGCCTCGAACTCAGAAACCCGCCTGCCTCTGCCTCCCAAGTGCTAGGATTAAAGGCGTGCACCACCACCGCCCGGCCAAAGTTCCCTTCTAAAGGTCTAAGTCTTTACATAAAACCAGCTTCTCAAAAGCAAAACCAGAGTTTACACACCAGTGTTAACCTGTTTTGAAATCTATACCTCTAAGAAACCAAAGTGCCACTGAGTTCTCATCAGGTGAAATATATAGGGTGTTCTGTTCCGTTTAGAGTCAGGTTCTCAAGTAGCCCAGGCTAGATTCAACATAAAGCCAAAGATAACCCTAAATTGCACACTCTCCTGCTTGTCTCCCACGTGCTGAGAGCACAGCAAAGGTGTGTGCCAGTGTTCTCAGTGTATGCTGTGGGTTCTGGGTCTTGAACTCTGTGTTAAGGAAGAAAGAACTTCTCCCTTCTCCGGCCGCTTCTTAAAGGAAATCGGAACTGTGTCGGATGCCTTTTCAACAACCTTGGCACTTCTCTTTTGCTTTTCTGTTTATGAATGACATATGTAGAGTTTAAAATTCTTAGAGGAAAAACATCACTGGCAGGGCTAGTGGCTTCTAGAGTCAGTGGGAACCCTCTGAAGTGGCTCTAAGCATCACTGAGCTGGAGAGCAGACACGAAGTGTCTGGGGCGGCTGGCCCTGTGATGACACGTAGAGGAGCATGAGGCGAGGGCTTAGAACCCTGCATCCACTGACAGCCACAACACAGGCCATCACTGTGACAGCAGTGGCGGGAGTCATGTTGCCTTACTGTGTGTGATGGCACCGAGTGGGGCTTGATGGTGGGGTTGCTCACAGACGTGACCTTTGTCTGCTTCTGCAGGTGCTCTACCCACTCGTGCAAGTCTTGCTGGGTGGTGCAGGACACCAGAATCCTCTCGATCATGCTCCCTAGAGTGGAGAGACACAGTGAGTGCACACACAGTGAGTGCACACAAGCACATATACGCACCCAGGACCCATACCGCACACACCCCCTCGGACACGCATAGGCTCTTCACTCGCCCGAGGCACGGCGCTGGCACAGCATGGATGCATTACCTGATATCTCAAATGCATTCCTATGGTTCTCACTGTCCTCAAGCTTTGTGATCGTCATTCCTGTTGTTGGCAGCTTTCCCTACAAAAGACCCCCAAAGAATATTTTCCTAATAAAGAAGGTACCACACACACACCAAATGACGTCACACATGGCGGCAGACCTAGCACTTTAAATAACAATCAAACCAAATCTGAACCCAAACTGAAGCAAAGCAGGATCTTGACCCAGGGGGTGATTCTACAAGTGGAAGACAGAAGACATGCCCAGGGTGCACAGGGTGGCTGCTTTAAAGGCATATGACAGAGTGATCACTGCCTTACAGAGAAAGACAGAGTTAGGAGTTTAAAGGCCCAACTGATGAGAAACAGAGACAAGAACACACACTGAGAGACAAGTACTCTATCAAAAAGAAAATATGCCATGATGTCAGATGGATGCCACAGGTGCCCAAGTGTCAGTCGATCTGTCTATAAAATGGGAGGGACTGACAACACAGCAGGAAATGTCAGCTTAGAAAAACAGAAGGGGCCAAAGCTCATTTAAGTAGTAAAATCCAGCAAGCAATAGTTTTCCCTGGGCCACATAGGCTCTGACAGCTGGTAGCCCAAGGCCACATTTTTACAGTCTATGGGTGTTTGGGGCCCAGGAAACAACTTAGGCAGAGAACAGGGTTTTACCAGCAGGCAGGAGACAGTGTTTGTGCTGATGAGTTTTTGTCTACTTGACACAGCTAAAGATACCAGCAGGAGAAACCTGAGCTGAGGGCCTGCCAGCTTCCCAGGGACCCACAGACAAACCTCCCCGGGCAGGTTTGATCAGTGACTGAGGTAGGAGGCCCAGCCCACCATGCAAAGTGGCACCTGTGGACAGAGGCGGCAGAGGGCAGGGGGCAGGCGGCAGAGGGCAGGCTGCTTCGGGCAGCATTCCTTCCTGTTCCCCTTCCCTGCTCCTGCTGGTCCCGCACTTTCCCCAGGAATGGACTGTGACCTGGACATGGGAGTCAAACAAACCCGACTCCTCAAGTTTTCTTTTGCTTATGATGTGTAAACAGCAGTCCAAAGCAAACTAGAAAAACTATTGACAACAGTTTCCCTACCTTGTGCCCTATTCCAGGCAAAACCAAACCAAACCAAACAAACAAACAAACAAAAAAGTCACCCAGTCCAAACAGCTGAGGGCCAGGCTGAAAGCCCAGCAGACGCCTGACACCTCCATGGCTAAGGATAAGCTAAGCTCCCAGAAGCTGCACAGAGAGCAGAACCATCTCTGTGTGCATTCCCTGGAGCAGCTCATCTTTGGAGCCATAGTCCCACTGCTAGAGCTGGCATCGCCAAAGCCAAGGGGGTGTTCTGTTCTTAAGATAACTCTTGCTATGTAGCCCATGCTAGCCTCCCAGGTGCTGGAACGTAAGTGTTCCACCAACAGACACTAGCACTGGAGCTGATGATCCCCACAGGACTGATCAGCACAAAGATGGCCCTGGGATAGAGATGACATCTCTAGGGACACGCTGCAACAACAGCAGACAATCCCTGCACAAGTGCCAGCCTAGGTTAAGGCTCTCGGGTATGGAATGAAGCCAGAAACAGGCAGCTCTCAACAGGGAGCTGCCACTCTGGCACCTCAGCCACCCAGAAGACCTCACCAATGGAAGCCTCAGGTTTCTGAATCTTTCCATGCATATTTGCTCTGCCATCTATCTATAAAGACTCCCTTGGAACAAAGGTGGTGACTAGCCCTCCTAGGGGCAGACCAAGCCATTAAGGACTATACACAGGACAACACAGAAGACACACATCAGAGAAAAGCCAGGTGAGGGTGAAGCAGCAACTTCCACTAGAGTGGTACATGGAAGCTGGCCAGTCCTTGAGACAGGCTCACTGAGAGCATCTCACAGATCCTACCTAATGTCCCCACCACTAGTCCAATGGTGGGGACTAACAGAAAAGAGTCTCTCACACTCTCTCCTACAACCAACTCTCAAATGTTCTCCAAAAAAATGGTGAAAAACCAAGACACTAAACAAAAGTTTACTAATAGGTTAAAAGATCAGGTTACAAGTGTTTTGGGATGTTCTACCCCTTATAGAAGATCTTAGCCCACAGCACCTAGCTGAACATACCTTGCGCAGAACGGAACATGAAAGCCCAAGGAAGCAATGAGCTTTGCAGGGGACAATGTGGTCAGTGAGAGACAGATGTGGGTTGCTCACTTCTCTCCAGTCATATCAAAAGATGCACCAGAAGTGAACACACAAAAAAGAACACATAGCCATGACACAGTGCCATACACGGCACATACACAGGTGAATCCAATATTAATATATACATTCAAAGGCATCCTGAAAACAATGATCACATCCACCACAAACAAAACTACAATCAGTTTAGCTGGGTTTACCTGATAGATGAAACCGCTCATCCTGGGACTTGCAGACAACATGAGCAGAAGGTTTGGGAAGAGCAGGAGATATCTCTCATTCTTCTCCTAATAATAAAAAGAATCTGTTCACAAATGTGTGCACAAATCTTTATACAAGACTCCATGGGACTTCAGACCCTATTTTCTACTTGAGATTTCTACCAAACTATCTGGCCAATATTAAATGCCACCAGAATACAACCAAGTCCACATTAAACACCAGCATTGAGTCCACATTAAACCTTAGCACAGTCAGAGAACTAACTATAACCAGAAAGAATAACCACAAACCACTACATTTTCAAAACACAAAGTAATTAAATGATTCAAGAGCTCTGAGCTTGTGAGCTCTTTGTCAGACTTTTTTTTAAAAAGATTTATTTAGCTAGGAGTGATGGAGCAAGCCTTTAATCCCAGAACTTGGGAGGCAGAGGCAGAGGCAGGCAAATCTCAGTGTATTCCAGGCCAATGGTCTATATATTGAGTCCTAAGACAGTAAGGGCTGTGTAACAAAGACCCTGTGGAAAGAAAGAGAGGGGTGGGGAGGAGAGGAGATGGAAAGAAAAAGAGGAAAGAAAAAGAGGAAAGGAAAGGAAAGGAAAGGAAAGGAAAGGAAAGGAAAGGAAAGGAAAAAGTTCAGGGTATATTTCTTTGTATTGCTTATATGTGTGAATGTCTTCCTGTATGTATGTCTGTCCACCACATGGGAACAGAGCCCAAACACAAGTTGCAAATGGTTGTGAGCTGCCATGTGTGCACTGAGGCCCCTGGGAAGAACACCCACCACCGTTCACAACCACTGAGCCCGCCCTCTCCATCCCTGCGTGGAGTTTCTCTGAACACTACTTGGTAACTGTCTGTGTGTGGCCCAGAAAAAGGAACTTAGAAAATGTTAATGAGGGATAGGGACAGGTGGATTCTTCAAGATACAAGAAAAGTAGGACAAAATGTTAAGTAAATGTTGCTCTCATCTATCTGATAAACCTTTCCGGAAAAGCTTACATAAAAATATTTCTTGTACAGTAAAAATCACTTGATTTTTAAGTACCATTTCAAAGTAACAAAAGCCAAAGAGAACACGCACATCTAAGAGACGGAGTGCAGATTGTGAAGGGGAGAGACAGGCATGAGTCCACGCATGAGGACTGCCTTCAGACGTGGCTGAGTGAGCAGCTTTCCCAGGCATGTCTTCACACACCACAGGCACTCCAAGGCCAGCAGCTGGGGAAGGTGTGTATCCTAGGGGCTACTGGAACCTCCCGCCACGCTCTCCTGGAGGCGCGCAGGTCGTGAGTACCAGCAGACCTCTTTCGAGGGAATGACAGCTCTGACTCTTTGGAGTGACACTGATCACTGTTAGGGAGACTTAGCACTTTGGGAAATGTTGCATTATCTAACACAAAACTTATAAATCACTTAAGGGGCTGGAATGGCTCAGTGGTTATACAGCACTGGCTGCTCTTCCAGAGGACCCAAGTTTAACTCCCAGCACTCGCACGGCAGTTCACAACTGTCTATAACTCCAGTTCCAGGGAGCCTAGACATCCTCTTCTGGTCTCTGTGCACTGCATGCACCTTGTACAAAAAACATGCACGCAGATAAGACACCCCACACACATAAAATCATATGAGTAAGGAACACATTCTCAAAGATCTGAGTGTTTCAGGTCAGTATGATAAAAGAAGTTTATTCCAGTGTCCACAGTGTAATGAGGTGGGGACACTCAGGGCAAATTCTGCTTCTTCTTCTTCTTCTACCATTAAAAGCCAACATTCACTGGAGAGGGATGTCACTTAACAAACCAACAACAGAGCAGTGGCTTCTATAAACAGACACCAGAACACACACAAGCCAGTGCACTCTGATAGGAGAAGCCTGAGCCAGGGCCATGCCAGTGTCTTCTAGAGGACACCTGGACATGCTGAGACACATGCTGGCCTCTTCTGGTCTTGGGTGAACACCCTCTCAGTTCATACGGCTCTGGAACAAGCTGATCCTGGGTGGATGGGAACTTTCTACCTGTACCACAGGCTCTCCATGTTTGTCAAGGGTAAGAAGTGGACCACAGTGTGAGGCTCCTACACTGTCAGCAGCACATGTCATTCCTCCAGACCTGGAGTACCCAATCCTAGGGGTGTGAAGGCGGGCCTCCTTACCTCGCTTCCTGCACACTGAATGGTGACTTGGGACATGTAGGTAACACTGCCCAGTGTCTTTATGTCATCCCCCTCCCAGCTCCTGATGGGTTCCGTTAGGATCTGTAGCTCCAGCTCCTTCCTTTTTCGTACTTCTTGACACTGGGCCTGTGGGACAGAACTCAAGTGTTCAGAGACAAGCTCCAGACCCTTGTTGTACCACCCTGCTTCTGCTTATACGGTTACATTGCTCTGTGCCAGCTGGATGTCTGCTTCACTATAAGGAGTAAATAAAGTCAGGCCAAGGAAGCAACATGTACTCCTGCTCTAGCACCTTAAGTTTCACAGGCTGGTCGGTTTAGTGTCAGGACAAGCAACGCACAGAAGACCAACTCCTTCTGGCTCCATCAGGACCTGCCAGCAGAGAGGCCTGAGAGGAGGAAGGAGTGTGTTGGACAACATAATAAGGGCAGCTGTCCTGAATGTCACTGAAGAACCCTGGACCTGGAGGTCAGGAGTCACATGGGTTCACAACCCCCGCAGCATGAACTGCACTGTGTCCTTTTGCATTTCAACCACCTCAGTTATGGCCCTGGCGCCCACAGTGCACTCAAGTGGGATGACTTCCTGGCCCTGGAACACTGCTCTGCATGTCCTTTACCTCACCTCAATAAACAATACACTTACTTCACAAGTCACTCACTGTTTACTGTGGATCTATCTGTCCACCAAGTACTAACCTAATATGCATTTGTGATGAGAATGTCAGAGAAAGTGTCATAAACTGAACCACTTACTGAAAGGTTTTTGAAGGCAGTCATAGATTTTTGAATATCTTGTCTATCAGGATGATAATCCTTTGGATAAAGAAAGACAGGATTAATTCTCAAATCGAAAACAACCTGGAGCCGTTTTGATAGTGTTCAGCCCTTAGCTTGTCAGCATGAGGCCTGCTTATCTTTTAAAGGATTATGGTGCCCAAAGACTTGAGGAAAACTAATTTAGAGTAAAACTGCCAAGAAGGGTCAGCAAGCCACATTTTTGGTAAATAAAGCCTTGTGAGAACATGGCCACATGAGTGCTTAACAATTCTGCCCTAGAAGGTAGACAAACAGAGCTGAGCAGCTGTGAAGACGGTCCATAGACACACTTAGCCTGAGAATAGGCAGAGCCGGAGTCCTGTCAAATCTGCAAGCTGTTAGTCCACGTACAATAGCTGTTTCCATTATCACTCAGCACTCGGTCCCGTGACTCAATGCTGAGAGGACACCCAACTCTATTTGAAAACTATGCTCCACAGCTTTCTGGAGCCCTTGGTGGGTAGATGGGCACACAGGAAAGTAAAAAGACAGATCTTACTCCTGGGCTGGAGGAAGAGTCTCCCTGAAAATCACTACGTTATAAACTCTGGACAAGCTCTAGGGTGGTTTTACAGACATAAGGAGTCTGACAAGGATGGCTTGAGGCCTCAGATCAGGGAGCAACTGCACCTCCATGTGTCTCTCCAGCTCCTTCAGCAGTGTGGGGTACTTGTCCAGGCGCATGAAGGGCTTGCTCAGGCCGGTGGTCAGCACCAGGATCCCGGGGCTGCTGGCACCTTTGGTTTCCATGAACTCTCCCAGGTCCTCACTGGGCAGCAGAGGTAAAGAGGGAGAGAGGAGACCCCAGTTAGGAACACAGGCCAGAGCTCTGTTTTACAGCCAGTTTCTTCTAAAACAAAATGGCCTACTGTACTGGCTACAGCTTTACACCCCCAGATGTGCTGGTTACTATACAACATGAAAAGTATCTAAAATCACTCTCCCTCCAAGGCACATCTTTACCTGGGCATGCTGGCTTCATGGAGACCTTTACAAACTCTTAGAGGTCTCTAGAGAGCAAGCAGTAGGAGCTGCAGTAGCGGTCCCTGAGCCACAGAGACCTGTGAGGCTCCCCATGCCCTAACATGAGGTGCATGCCTGAGAGCTGGTGAACAGACCGCACTCTCTAGCAGCAGCCGTGGTCTACACAGAGCAGAGCAGCACAGTACAGCGGGGCCAGGCACACAGGCTCTGGCATGAGGAGACATGGCACAACATCACACGACACAGAGTGGTGGTACAAGCACACCCAGCATTTAGAGCATTAGTAGGCCCTCAACGTTCTACTTCCTTTTCACAGCCATCTTCACTATTCAGGTGATGTTTTCCAGAACAAGTTTCAAAAGGTAACCATTTCCCAGCATCCTCCATTTCTGCTGAACCCTCGACTGAGGACCTCTTTCACACAGCTCATACTTGGGTTTGTTTCAGTTTCTGAGTCCTGCTAAGAGCATCTCTCCATCCCATCCACTCATCCTAAACCACCATGGGGTAACAGAGAAATACACACTTACCAACTTCCTCTGAAATGAGCAGCTGATGGGGCACAGTCCCACAAAACCACCTTTCTAACAGAAGTTTTCCCTTCATGAAGGGAAATGGGTCCCAGTCATTACAGTATTCCAGGTTTACTGAAACATCACAACCTACTCACTGCGGGGAATGCACAGTACCCGTGCTCAGAACTCCTAAGAACAAGGCCTGGTTTCTACACACGGTGTTCTTCTGGTGCCAGAAAAGCAAAAGTAACAAACTAGTGGAAAATATGTTCTTACAGAATAACTTATAAAATCCATACAGAGCAAGTGGCCTCTAGGGCCGTGACTACTATCAATACAGAAAGGAAAGGTGCCCATGGGTAGACTCCTACAAATGGTAACTGGTGACTATATCCACATAGGGAAATCCACCCCAGGGACACAGCACTTCTGACACCTAAGAATGCAGAACAAAACTGATCCTAGGGCTTGCATTTTCTAGGCAAAACTTCCCACCAATACACTACACCCAGCTTACAAATACAAAGCTTTCAGACTTGAATAAACAACCTTACTCAGAAACTCAAAAACTCAGGCATCAAACAGAATCTAATGAGCAGGCATGGTGTGGCAGCTGAATGGGAATCAGAGCTACAGGAAAGCGGCAAGATTGACAGCCTAGCATCTCAGTAGAGGAAGCTGCTGAAGGGAAGTAAGTGATCAGGCACAGAGAACTCACAACTCAAATCACCAACTTACGCCTCAGGAGAGGGATGGGATCTGTGGGAGGCTGAGGGGGAAGCCTCACAGCTCAGGGACCTCAGAAGGGCACACAAACACCACATCCTGCTGCATCTGCTGGCTCAGAAGGATGTTCCTCTTTATGGCTTAGGACCCCACATCAAGTTGCTCCAGGCTTTCAGAGCAGGTTCTAATGTCCTCAGGCCACATTTAACCATGCCACGTTGAGCAGGCAACCTGGACACTCCCCATGCAATACCTCGTCTGAGTCCTTCCCCCTGGTTATTTTGAGATGTGCTTGCCTTTCAGACAGGACTCAAATAGTCACTGAGGTAATAGCAGAGTGGAGGTGAACAGCACTGTATACAGGCATTTCCTCAGCTCTGCTGCTTTGATGGCTGCCTTCCCACAGAAGTAAGTCAGAATTGTACACCCTGCCATTTCTGGTCTCACTCCACCCTGTAGGACCAGGCACACCCTCCAGAGTGGGGTGTGTGTGTGTGTGTGTGTGTGTTGGGGGCAGGAGATAGAACAGAACACACTACTTGCTTTTTAGCTCCGTGTTCATTACATCAATAATACCTGAAGAGCATTTAGAGACATAAACACAGTGTCTGTGTTCTGGTTTTGTGAAATTTCCTAACTTTTAAGCTCAATGAGTCAATCTGAAGTATAACTGCATGTAAGCTTCATGCTAAAGAGAGGGAGAGGCTGACCCAGGCCTTTTTTCTCAGGCAGAAAAAAGGACCACAGTCTGCCACGGTGTTGGTTTCTACTTCCCCTCTGACTGTGAAGCCCTCCAGCCCCATCCCTACACAGTGGTCCAAGGCTACTACCCCCACCCAGAACTGGAGGAGACTGACAGGTGAGGACACAGTGATCCTTGTAAACCCCAGGACAAGCAAGGAGCAGGAAATGCCTGGGGCCACTCACTTCTTACCAAGGTCAGAAAACAAAATAATGAACCCTTACTGTGTCTGCCCTTCAGTGACCAATGGATGCATGGTCCTAATGCCATCCCAACCCCATGCACAGCAACAGGCCACTCCAGACTGCAGACATCGCAACATTTCTAGGCAGGCAGGCAGGCAGGCAGGCAGGCAGGTTCATCCAAGGTATTTATTTGTGTTTCAGTAGTTGTACATCAAATGTTCAGTTAAGAACACACTAAAGTATTTAAATAAAAAGCACAATGACAAGAATCTTCATGCTGATGAATACTTTTCCATTAATAGCTCTTTGAACAATACTGAACTGCTGTTTATAAATGAAACCACATAATTTCTTCCAATAATAAAATTGGTGTGTTAAAAAAGAGTGCTGTGCCTCTTTCAGCATCCGAAACCATTCCTGAGCTCGCTTGACATTTGCTCAGTCATCTGGCACAATGCCAGCTCTCGATTCCAGCACTCATCATGTGGGTCTCCCCAAAATACCTCACACAACCAGCAACCTCTTTCCCAACTCAACAGAAGTGGCTGGCAGCATACACAGCAAGTGCAATCGTGCACACTGATTTTTGTTTCAGGTTCAGAGGCTCAAGCTAATGGTGTACAAGTGAGCGCTCTGCCTGCAGAGTGCTGCTTCTCTCTCGACTGCCACACTCTCTGAACCTGAGCATGGCGCGCAGTGACTGCCTAAGCAGCTGCCAGCTCCCTCCAGGCTTTCCACCAAGGAAAGGCCTCAGACTAAAGAGAGTTCAAAAGGGTGCTCTTTTGTTCTGCTCTTTTGTTTTCACTTGTATTGGTGCGTGTGAGTATGTGCGTGCGTGTATGTGAGATATATATATATATATATGTCTGCTGTGGGCACATATGAACAAGCCAGGGAAAGATGTTGGGTGTCCTCCTCTATCCGACAACCTGTGACACAAGGTCTCTCATTTAACCTAAAGCCAGTCTAGCAGCCAGCAAGGTCGGCAATCCTCCTGCCTCTGCCACTCAGAGACAGGGTTACACATACTGGCCACATTCCTCACTTCTCATGCTGCACGGCAGGACTGTTAGTCAGCCAGTGGTGGCTTGAATGGAAACAGTCCTACAGGCTCACAGAGCAGCACCACTGGAGGGTGTCCTTGTTGGAGAATGGCTGTGTGTAGGGTAGGGAAGCTGAGCGTTGAGGATTCAGAAGCTCAGGTCAGATCCAGAATCACTCTCTTCTGATCCAAGGATCCAGACACAGAACTCACAGTTACCTCTTCAAGCTTGTCTGCGTGCAATCATGCTCGCACCATGATGATATCGGACTAAACCTCTGAACTGTAAGCTAGCCCCAGTCAAAGGTTTTCCTGTAAGATGTGCTGCTGTGGTCTCTTCACAGCAGTAAAACCCTAACTAAGACACAGCCTCAGAACCCTTTTCTTTCACAACCACACACACCAGCTCCTAACAGATGTGCAAGCACTCATTTTGAGGAAAATAAACTTACCCTTGCTGTGTTTGAACATGCTCCATGAACTATCTAAAGGACAGAGCTGCCCACCTTCCTTCCCTTCTGGCCAGATGGCTCAGCAACAAACCTGTGCTCTGTGAGGACGCTCACAGCAGACGGGTGGTTGGCACAGTAAGCAAGGTACAGGGTCCTCATCTGCGGCATCAGGCTCAGGAAGCAGCCACCGACTCTCTGTTGGGCTTCAGGAGACCTGTGGGTATGAGAGACACCATCAGACAGGAAGAAAGCAGCGAGTGGCAGGTGCTCTGTGATCTTCTCTGCATGATCTCCACACCCTTCTGATCCTGCCAATCCTACAGGCTGACAGGCTAACCTTCCACAGTATCCAGATGGCTAGGTGTGACATGCCACAGGGACTGACCAACCTAGCCAAATCCATGCTCTCTATGTAGTGAAAAAAATATGTCCATAGCCTCAGATGCTGTACACACAGTTAGAAGACACCAAGCATGGCTGTCTAACTGAAGGTACCACACATGGCTGTCTCCGGAACCTTCCTACCCATGAAGTAACAAGAGTAGAAACAGTAAGTAGGAAAGACTCCTTTCACTGCAGGTCAAGGAGGCAGCTCTTCCCACCTCCGGGCAGCAGCAGCGGGTCACAGGACTCTAAAGTTTAAGCCAACTAGAACCCACTGTGGAGATGCAGAGTAAACAGCAGTGGTGAGGCTTGGCATGTCAGTCAATTGGACACAGTGGGGTCACATTCCGGGGTCACTAAGAGCCTGAGGTGCTCTGCCTATCACCTACAAGTGTAGGCCTGGGATAGGACACCATACTACAGACGGGCTGAGAGGATACCACACCTTCCTGTGTGTCAGTAGTACACATCCACCAGATTCCTAGCACACTGAGAGCAAAGAAGACTTCCTGTCCTCTGGGGACGAGCATACAGGACCAAAGCTGCTGATCCCAGAACTCTTCAGCAGTGCTGTTAGAGCATCTGCAGTGCGGTATCTCAGCTCTAAGCGGCTGTGCTGGCCAGTTGTAGGTCAGCTTAACACAAGTTAGAGACATCTGGGAGGACAGAACCTTGCTCAGCTGACAAAATCCTCTTTAGGGCTGGGCTGGACAGTGGCCTGTAGGGCATTTTCCCAATTAGTGATCAGTTGTGAGTGGTCTCACCCGTGGGCTGTTGGTCTTGAGTTCTATAGCATTTTATAAAACAGCAGGATGTACAAGCCAGCAGGCAGCACCCCTCCATAGCCTCTGCATCAGCTCCTACCTCCAGGTTCCCACCTGGTCTGAATTCCTGTCTTAGCTTTGTCCACTGGACTATGAATCAGGACATATAAGCCAAATAAACTCTTTCTCCTTCCCAAGATGCTTTTGGCCATAGTATTTCATCACAACAATAGTAACCCTAATTAAAACAGTAGGCTAAGAAGACTGACAACAACTTTCACAAAAAGAAAGAGAAAGAAAGAAAGAAAGAAAGAAAGAAAGAAAGAAAGAAAGAAAGA